CAGACCTTTAGGTACGGCAAACATCCTTTCATTTTTTTTTTTGCGAAAGAGTTGTGCGAGAGTGTAGTGTGTGCCTTTTTCTCATTCTCAATCCTGTCTCCACGAAAGAGTGTGTCCGAAAGTGAAACCTTCCTAAGGAAACAAAAAAGAGCTCGAGTTTTAGCAATAAAGTGCGGTGTTGTTCGGCGACAGCAGTAGCGGCAGTGTCAAAGCGGCCTTCGGGTCAATAACACCGCTGAGAGACGATTTCACAATTGCACGCTTCGCTAATTACAAATCGCAATTGCCGCAGGTGCACTAGAGAGCGAGCGGTCATGGGTGTTATGCGGACGCGAGCGACAGAGAGAGGTTATGCACACAGAGGGTTGGAAAGCTGATTAAGTTGGACTATGCATGAGTGTAATGCTTTGGGTAACGCACGTGAGAGAGCGAAAAATCGCCGATTGACAAATCCGTCGGATCTTCAAGTTTGCTGAGAATGTGGTCTTTGCGATATTGCTAATGCAGTATATACTTACTGCTTGTCATACGAAAGCTATCGCAGCGCTAAATTTCTACAAATTCAGCGTTTCGTTTCGGTCGTTCAAATGATTTACAATTTCGATTGTATTGCTTTTATATTAATAGTCGTCGCTCTTTGTTTATAAATAACATATCGACTGTTCTGATCGTTAAAACCGCTCGAGAAAGAAAGAGAGAAAGAGAAAGAGAGAAAAAGAAACGTTTACTCGCATTTCAATTATAATAATTAAATCGATGAATCAGTGCGCAGCGGTCTGCGCCTCTCCGCGCGCGACGTCATTTGGAAGTCAATGATACTGATATCATCGATTCAATATACCGCGGCACTTAATTCTCTGCAACAACCTCAATAAAATGTCGTGTCGCGCAAACAATATAATAAACGAGCTTGCATTTCCATTTCGTCTTCGGCCCATGCTTTCGAATTTGACATAGTTACGGAAAAGGTTTGCAAGCGAATTGGCCGTAGGTCCGTTGCGCAATTCCCAACTTACGCCCGAAAATTGTGCACCGTTCTCGAAAAGAAAACGCATCGCTCGCGCGAATTAGAATTAGCGGCGGGTGACCGGGGAGGGGGCCTTATGACACAACGCGCGAGACACTGCTGCTTAGGAAAAGTAAGGTAAGGCCAGTGCTATAATAGAAACTTTCACTACGAAAAGTTCAATGGCCTGCCGGCACTCTCTCCTTCTCTCTCTACTTCTCGCTTTTTCCTTTCTCTTTTTCTTTTCAACTGCAGTTTTCTGCCTCGTGCCGTAATCTTTCCATTTACCTCGCGGGGAGGGAGCGTATGTAAACAGTTTCCTCCATCTGGTTACGTCGACGGTAAAAACTCGAACGCGCGTTCAGAAAGCTTTATTGATGAGTGCAATCGATTGAAAAGCTAATTAAATTCCCTCTTTCTATCAGGGGATCGTCGGAACAGGGGCTCGACATTTCAAGCACTTTCTATATTCTCTTTCAACCTAACCAGACTGTGAATAACCTCGTACGTGTGTGTGTAAATGAACGATATCTCGCAAAGTCTACAAGTTCAATGAACAATGATCAATTGGAGTTTGTAAAAAATGAGAAAGGTTTTGGAAACATCATTCCAAGTAAAAGAGAGAGAGAGAGAGAGAAAGATAGAGGGAGAGAGAGAGAGAGATAGAAAGAGAGAGAGAGAGAGAGAGAACGGTAAATAAAGAGTGTAAGCGCAACTAGGATGTCACGGCGTGGGAGAGTCACTTTCACCGTCGAGCACATAGCGGTAAATTCGCTCAGTCGACGGCGACTCGCTTCACTCGCTGATTCGAGCGCGATCGCCTACTTTTCGACGCGCCCGTTATGCCGCTACACACGCACACCTAAAATATCGCTTTCTTTTCCGTTTGCTGCAGTGATACCACGATAACAGGTACATTTGGTAATTGATCACATGGGCAAAATACCTACGCATTTTCGGCTATGATAACCAACGAATCGTATCGCACTTTTTTTTCTTTCCAAACAAATAAACCTATCTCGTTGATTAGCTGGCAAGTGAAATAAAGCTTATGCGAGAGAGAGAGAGAGAGAGAGAGAGAGAGAGAGAGAGAGAGAGAGAGGAAGAAAAGCTTCCGCTGATTTTAAAATAAGAAAATAATAATTTTTTTGCTCGTGCGTTCCCGTTGCGCTCGGGCACTAAACTGTCAGCCCTCTGAAAAGAATGTTATAAAGGCACGAGGAGATCTACTTCGCGGAAGTCCGCGTGAAAGCCGAGTAGGATACCTCTTTCTCTTTGGCCAAAAGCGTACATGCATGCTTTTTATATAACTTGTCACGCGAAATCTAAATGTCAAAAATAAAAAGGATTAATCTTTTTCGTGTGTCCGCTCGTAAAAGGAAAGGTGCGCGCAGGTTATGTAAGAGCTGAATTGAAACGCGATCGCCCTTTAGCTTCTCTTTTCTGCCTTCGTTTCCTTTTATATGTATATATATTTTTTTTCAGTATTTTTTTCCATCCAAAGCACACTTTCTCGCACGCACGAACGCCATTTGCATACAAAGAATAAAAAGAAAGCAAAAAAATGTTCGTCCCTCCGGTATCTTCTCTGACAACACCACCGTAGACCGCTTAAAAAGAGAAAGAAGAGAATAAAAGGGGTTGCAGACGCACACACGCGAACGTGAGCAACGGCATTGCTGTGGTTTGCGGATAAAAATTTCACTTGGTTTTCTTTCGCGGGAAGAAGAAAACAAGAAAAAAATCTCGCCCTTGCTAATTTGCCAAAGTAGAAAAAAAGGATGAGCCAATCGATGGTCTCGTCCCCCAAACGCTTTCCCGGAGCCACGTGAAATATGCCAGCGCGCTCACCTATGGGTAGCTTGGCACATACACAGACGTGCATTTGGTTACGCAAGAGAGCGTGCGCGGCGTGTGTGAGACTGCTGACCTACATACGAGCGCCAGAGAGCAAGGACCCCGTGCGCATGCAGCGAGCTGAGCAAGCGAGTGCGCGGTCGATATACCACGCCGACATTGCCATCGAGGCGGCAGTAGGAGAGCACGTGTATTAAAAGCAAAGCGCCAAGCTCGCCGCAGCGACATCTCGCGGGGCGTCCAATTTTTTTTTTCTACGATCTTTCTGCGTGCTTTCGCTGCGTGTGTCGCGTGATTACTTTTCTCTCCTTTCGGCGTGACGCCGAGTAGACTGCTAATTGCCAATTATCGCGTTTGGATTTTCCGTTTCGTCGGGATTTCGCGTAACACTTTACGATTTTTTTTTATTTGTTACATTTACGAAATACACGGTTATCAAATTTATCACTTAATTAACAGTCTTTTCCTTTTGATTGCACAATCACCAATAATGTTTAACTCGTGAATTCTAAGTCCGAAAAAGACGCGATCATACGATTTTTTCAAAGTTGCATTTACAATACCACTCAATTAAATACTCATTAACCATAATGCATCATCGTTTACCCTACGAAATTCTCTCCTAGCCGACCTTCAGAAGTTTCGTAGTAAATACTAGCACGCTACGATCGTAGCTTTCGCAATGGTTGTTCGCGCACACCTCCGAAAACTGAATTTAATTTTCTCTTGCGCGCAAATTAATACGGGACTTCCCCGAGATACATGAACTTTGTAGGAAGCTTTCGTCGCTGCAATCAAAATAAATGGTTTTGCAAGCGACGTTACCTTGAAAGGCCCAGTGACGTATTGTACGATTGGAGAAACCGCTTGAAGGGTTATTTGCAACATACAAACATGCGCATGACTTATCGACCAGGGAATTCATATACATTTGTTACCGGTGTCACGGGCAAATAATATGATAATTTTTAGTGCTCTCTGACAACAACGCGTACGTCAACAAGTTTTGGTATATTCACAAATAATGTTCTATACGAGGTTTGACAATGCTTTACTGCACTGCTGTCCCAGATATCGGAAAAAGCTTCGGCCAGCAAAAACATTATCATATATTTGCCGTTACTTTTTCTCTTATGTTCTTTCGTATCGCTGCATTTGTTTGTGAGGCGGTTGTGATGCGATCTGGTGATTCAGATGAGTTTGCGTCGTGGTAAGCTCCGCGTCGTATATACGTTTTACTAGGATGATTCGAAATGAAAATTACAAAAAAAATTGGTTATTTTCTAATTATACTAACCTCAATTCACAAAAGTTATGCGTCACCTTTCAGCTGTTAAGTTTCATATTTTCGAAAAAAAAAAAAAAAAAAAAAAACTATTGTAACGTTTCATTTACATTCGAAGATGACGTGCAATTACAATAATGAACGTTATTTATAACATATCTTCGTAACGAGCTCACCAAGGAATATTCGATAGCAAAGAGAGAAAGGAATAATCTTTATATACGTGCTTTCCTTATGTATGCTCCAGTTTCGTTATATACGCAACGCCATGTTTACGACGCAGGTGCCTTTTAAGAGGTTAAGGTCGTCCCGTTTGTTTTTCCCCACACGCGGTCGGTCGCCGACGCGAGTCATCATCTGCGATTTTTTTTGATGCTATTACGTTGTACCCAGTGTTTTAACATGTCAAGGTGAGGTGGCTTGGATTTAGAATTTGTGCCGTTAGACACGCGCGCTAACCGGTATTTTGGTTGTCTACCGGTTCCTTATTTTGATCCCGAAATGGCTTTAGAAATTGAGTTTGTACATTGACGCAAAGAAAATGTATTCGAGGTTATTTTAAAAAGCAATTTGTTGACATTGATAAATTTGTGCTTGTTGCACTTAATTTTTCAATTTTTCCTCGATTTTTGCAAAACCTACGCAGAAACAAATATCCCATTTTGATTCATTATGAGAGTCGTCGCTTTCTTCCTAACTACTGTTCGCAGTAAATTAATTTTTTTATTCGCCTTCGATGCAATAACGATAAATGATCTACTTTACTATTATATTTTTATACGTTATTTGTATTTTTTAATATCTGTTTGTTGACTTTCCGGCTAATCTTTTTTATTTGTTTTTATGTTATAGGAATTATGACCCTTACGAGCAGCCCGTGTGAGCTAGACAACATGAGCTTGTTTCAAGACCTCAAGTTGAAAAGGAGAAAGGTCGATTCTCGATGTAGTAGTGACGGTAAGATCTTGCATTCACTTTTTTTTTCATGACTTTTTTAAATATACATAAAAGTCAAGGTAATGCGAGTCTGAGCGGATACAATCTAAATGACCTAAAAAAATACAGAACATACAAAATTTGAATTGTAAGAAATAAACGTTGACCAGTACTTTCTTATTATGCAAACAAAATAAGAAATAAAAGAAAAGACTAAGTAGAACTAAAATGTACATCATAGTACAATCATCGAAAGCAAACACATTTATCGAACTAAAATCACAGCTCCTTTCGTATGATCGCTCGTTGATCTGTACTACTTAAACTCAATAAAAATCAATATAATTGCAATCACTCGCACTGAAACTACAATTTTAACCGTAAAAGCTACATATAAAATTTAAAAATCGTTGAGAATCAATATATCCTTAACCCAATCGTTATCGAAGCCACTATCCGTGTTCAGAAAGCTATTTCAGTCAATCCTCGGTGTAAAAATAGCCGGATACGAACAATATTCACCCGTCGAACATCCGTCAGGTCTTAGTTATAACTAAGATTTTCGATTACACGTACACTCGCTTAGTTAACTAGGGAGAGTAGAACGTTGCACGCAATAGCCCGCGAGAAAGAAACCCACCCCTGGAGCGTGCACCTCTGTTGTTCAGTTTAATTACGTTCTCTATTAGAAAGACTTCGTGATTGTTTAAAAATCTGCAGATTTTTGCGGGTCTTATCTCGTACAGTAATTGTTTTGGTGACTATTATGAGCGTTACGAAACTACGTGTTATTTCCGTTGCGATGAATGAAATCAACTACGATTATATACGCGAGTATACATTTGCGTACTTGGTATGAATACGCAGTAACGAGAGTACGTTATTACGCCTATTATACGCGTTTAGAAACTATAAAAAGAAGAACACGCGTTATAGCAGTATAATATATAAGTCCTGCAAAACTATATATGTACATGCACGCACGTTGTTGCACAATACGTTCTAAATCGTTACATAAAGTTCACTGAACAGCCTAGTAAAGAAATGAGCGGGCATACACTTGCATAACGACCGACAGAGAAAAAAAAGTGACTCAACGCGTGCGAACGAAATAAAAAAAAAAGAGAGAGTGAGAGAGAGAGAGAAAGAGAAACACCCTGCATAAAATCGATGCTCTATGCACATCAGACGAGAGCTTGCGACGCAAATAACGAAAAAGCTTTCTCTTTCGCTTGCTTAACGCTTTATTGCTTATCGCGGGCGAGGAGAAAACTTTATGAGCTTTTGTTTGATGGGGTACCGATGTGGACTTTCTCAAGGTTTCCCTTTGCAAGGATATAACAGACTTTTGTGACGTAAAGGAAGCTATTGGTGGACAAGTCCATTGCTTTTGAATGTGACTCGTCTCAAGCATTTGTAAAGTTAAACGTTAACAGTTTTCCTTGGTCGCTTGTTAGTTTCAAGTTTTTGAGCTTCTATTTGACAATTTGAATATGCAATAGCTTGATTTACGAGTTCAACAACCAGACTAACTATAATTAAAATATTCTACTTGATAGGATTAGTAATTTTCCAGTGATATGCAGCCGCTTATACCCGATGCTTTCGAAATCACGCGTCATAGAACGGTTTTCTTTTTCAGGTTTTAAGTTTTATCAGGTGTTGTATATGAATGTGCACGTATTAAGTATGCCTAGGTAGGTTCCATAAAAATCGTTGTTCCGAAGAAAAAACTCTTTACGCTCACTCAACGTCATTAATTCATAAAAAAATTCTTATTGATCGATCGTTTCTCTATATATTTAATTTACAATGAAATTAATTCCATTCAGAACAACAATTATTTTTTTAACTATCACTCATCAAAATTGTAGTTCACAAAGGCCTAAAAATTACGATCGAGTAGTAAAAAAATAAAGACAATTTCGGAATTTCCAAATCGCAGAATAAAAGAAAAAAAAGAAGGCTGATGCAGCGCTATGACACGAAGAAAAAAAGCGAAATACATACATAGCGAGCGAGCAACGAGTGTCCTTTCGGTGGCCTCGACGCTTACGTACACGGCTCGCGAGTTCAACGACCATCGCCGAGGCAAGCGAGCGGCATTTCCGCGCAACAAACGCCACGGCGTCAGCGATGCAATGCTTTTGCCTCACACGAGGCTGCTGCGATGATAAATGATCGACTCATTGGCTTTTACCCACATACAGGTATGCGCGTGTATTTGATAAAAATGGGCGATGCTGAGCTGGCACATTTTATATGCTATGCAACTGTTTTAGTCATTGATTGTTAAACTGGTACATGGGAAAAGGAAATCGCGTTGACATAGTGTAATAGAGAGTTTTTATTCAGACCGGGCACACCATCCGTTTATATATTTCAGGCTATTTCAATCCATTTCGCGAAAAAAAAAAACAGAAAAAAAGTGAAAATTCAGCTGTAAAGTAAATGGCATGACCACGCGTTTCGTCACACTCATGAATGGAACTTTCGGCGAGAATCGCGGCGTACATTTTTATCCGACTGCTTAATTATGGCTTGCTCGCCTGGCCTGGTCTCACAACTGCTACTACCGTTTCGCTACATATATTCATAAAACTTTGTATGGTAATGAAAAAAATTTTACCTGTCGCTCAATAAATCACTTACTCAGCTCGCGTATTGTACTGATAATTAAGAAAATGCTAATCTGCAAAACAATCGATCAACGCGTGTACAATGTATATGTACACCAATACGAAACCACGGTTAACTCTTTTTTATCATTTTCACTGATTTTTTTATACGTAATTGTGAAGTTCTTGGATGTTACTATGATTACAGAAATCAGCTGTAATTCAATACCTTATTTCAGAGTTTCTTTTGATCTCCACAAATCACAATTTAGTACCATGATTTTAAAATACAAATAAGTGTTCTAAAGGCTACAAAAATGTTTCTAATCTCACCAACATTATAAATCTCGATCCGGCAATTTTCACATAACATTAACAATTGAAGGCTAAAAGACTGCAAATCCAATAGGGCCTATTAATAGCGTTAGCTAGCAATGGCACAGGAGTGTAAGAAAAAAACAAAAGAATTATCACCAAGACAAAGTGTACAAAACGCATTCGCCCTATGTGCGCGCGAGCTGCAAGACCGAGCGCCAAGCAGCGTACACGATCTCGGCTACAGGTCCGCGGCCTTGTCAACTGCATTCCTTCCTTGACCTACACACTGACGCGACTGGCTTAGAGTGCACTACAACGAACACTTTCCTGACGTTTCTTTTTTCTGGTTCGATGGATCGATATTACAATAAAAAAGATACAATACATGGTTTTTGTTATACATGTTTTGCCTGCTACGGAAAAGGTGATTTATTTGTGATAATTATGAATTTACAATTAAATTCTGTACTTGCTAGGTTTCCATTATTGAATTTCGCTAATTAACAATTTATCGTATTAATACAGGTGGTCATCAATATAATTCCCATTCGCACTGTAATTTGTATCGCATTGATTTAGGAGCAGCGAGTATTACCGTGGAATAGCCATTAGATTCAATTAGAGGCAAATTATCTGTATTCGAGTGATATCATTGTAGCCATAAATCTATCATGCGAATGTGTTAAATTTACAAAAACAAAAGAGCAATTCTAAACAGTGCAGAAAAAGTACCTCTAAGTTTAAAATTATTAAAGACAATCAAACAATCGATTCAGCCACGAGAAATCCCATTGGTTCATGAAAGAAACTATCGAGTAAAAGTAAATCACTTTAACTCGATAACACGGTCAACGTTTAATCAGTGAACCCCTATTAAACGAATTCCAAAAGAAATATGGTCTCTCGAAGAGGATGATCACACTCGCACGCGATCATTGAACTTTATATATTCGCGAGTTGTACACTCGCGTATTGACCTTATTTTGCCTGGGCACGCGCGCACTTTTTATTCTCTGCAAACTTAAAAAGAGGGAGAAATCTTCTTCTGCCCTCATTTATTTATTTATTTTTCGCCGTGGGGTCGATACAGCAATCTGCATTCAGACTCGACATGTTTACTAGAAATATCTCTATCTCAGAGGAGAAAATGCATCAACTGGGCTGAGAATACTCAGGATATCGTCTGGCCTGATTGGAGCTTTCGTGTACGTTTAAGCAGCTTTGTTTTTTTTGCCACAAGTTGACTTAATTGTCAAAGTTTGGGGTGACGCGTTTGAGCGACACACGCTACATACACAATGTCAACACCTACAATTCAACTTTACAATTACGTTTGCTGTCGAAAGTTCGTGATTAGAAATTTTATTCATTAAAACCCTCCTCGATACATTTGTATCTTTATCGGGGTTCGCGAGAACAAAAAAAAACCATATTCCTAAAAGATTGTTATAAAAAGAGAAAAAAAACTAAACCCAGTCGATAACAAAAAAGATTCAAAAAGTAAGGAAAAAAGCATGGTCATAATCCGCAGACTCGCCGGTGTCGCCGGGCTCGTCGGGCTCGTCGCCGCTATTGTCTCAGCCACAGGACTCGCTACTTCAGCCAATGGCATTATTATCACCAGTCAACTCGAATTTTCCTGCTCCAGGGGAGAGCGTGGCCGACACTTCCACATCGTCGCCAGACGCCAATATGCCAGCATCACCGGGCTGCCCAATCGTCAAGGTCAAATCCGAGTACCTACGTGGCAGCCCAAGTCCAACGACGCGCGACACCTGCCTGCAACGTGTACCCACCACTCCAATTGCTCAACAGCAGCAACAGCAGCAGCAGCCACAACAGCAGCAAAATAAACCACAGGAGACGCTGACGGAACGGGCATCGCCAGATTCGGTGTTTTCCGAGATGGCTAGTCCAAGACCCAGTACCGAGGTGCAGACTGACGAGCAATCGCAACATCAACCTCATCATCATCACCCACATCATCATCATCATCATTTACAGCATCTTCAGCAGCAACAACATCACCATCAACAGCAGCAACAAAGGTCTTGTACGCCTACGGCTACGAGGTCAGTTCTTTCATCGTATCAATTGTTCCTTGTCATCAGGCCTCATCTTAATCCAATAAACAAAATCAACCTTTTGTCTCTAGGTCGTCACCACAGTCACCTATACAAGCAGTGTCAAGTACCCCGTCGACGCCGATTAACTCGCAAGAGACTTCGGTGACGAGTCGTAGTAGTGAGATACCCGATCGTCAAGGTAACAATCTGACCTCGACGCAATCTAAGGAGGAATCCGACAATTCGGTATTCGACGGCGGAGGTGGTTCCAGTACCACGAGTAACAGTAGCAATTCACTTGGTCATCGCGCCAGTCCGTCTTACAATGCGAGTCCGAGTCCGCAAAATCAACAGACATCACCGCGACCAAGAGCACCATCGGTACCACCTCATCATTTGCTTACCCATCATCAGTTCTGGTCGCAAGCACCCGGCGTTCAGGGTTTCGCTACTCAGAAGCTGTTGAATGGTGTTATTAGCAGCGCTGTCAGTTATGTCACTGGCAATAATGGTGCTACTGGCAATGTTAGCGTAAATGTTACGGGGAACAATGGCACCAGTGCCGGGATTAGTGTCGCTAGTCCGAATACTACCACTGGTGAGTTATCTTTTTCCAATCGTTCGATAAGTACGGCCTAAATAGAGTCTTATAAAATTTAAATAGATTAGAAAAATTGCTGCAAAAATTATTGCATCGTTCTTAAAACACAGGCGACAACATGAAACCACCAGCGCAACGATCAGCCCCAGCACCACCACGACCACCGCCAACCGTGATAATGGGCGAAGTGGGTGGAGTAAGGACGATGATCTGGTCAGCACCTGCAGTCGATCCAGTGCCACCACCCGCGGCATCGTGGACGGCAACGGCGTCCGCAGCCTCCTGTTCGTCAACGGAAGAATCCGCAGCGCAATTATTATTAAACCTGGGTCAAGAGTCACGTGGCAAGCCGCCAACCTCAACACCATACTCAACCGGTCCACCCCTCAATATGGAAAGGTTATGGGCGGGCGATCTTACGCAATTGCCAGCTGCTCAGCAGATGCAAGCGCTCAATCTTACTGCCTCGGGATCCCAACAACAGCAGCAGCAATCGCAACAGCAACAACAACCTTGGGTCCGGAACGGCGGTCTTGTAAAGAGCGAAGCTAGCACGCAATCGGCTGCCGGACAATTACAGGCATCGCTGGTCAGCCAGGCGACTGGCGGCGCCGGTGGTGTTGTTGGCCTTTCGCAGCAGGAACACGACGAGGACGAAACGCCTATGATTTGCATGATTTGCGAGGATAAGGCCACGGGACTGCATTATGGGATTATCACGTGCGAGGGGTAAGCGTAAGAAAGACCTTTGATGATGAATCTTGGCGCGCTCGATCCTTATTTTTCTTGACGATTTCTCCGAAGCGCGCGCACGCATATGGGAGAGTCTTAACAGCGCACGTTGTCTGACGCGAGTTCGATTTCATCTCGTGTACACCTGGTCGATGGCAGGTGTTGTTCGCGCCAGCGCGAGAGAGAGTCTCGAAGGTCACCCTTTTACTTCCTGGATCCATAAGCCGCGCTCTTCTCTGTACGTTATCGCCGTGTAATATATTGGCCTTTGTCGCGATGCGCCTATTTACATTCGAATATGGTTGCAAATTATGTTCACCTTTAAAAAATCAAAGTAGCAATTGCGAAATTGTACTAAAAACTCTCGCGAGCAGAAGATAGAATTGTCTAGAGTGAGGTAACGAAAGGAAGTGAATCGCGGCGGGATGAAAGAGCAAATGCGCGTCGTTTGATTTGTCTTGCGAAAATTGCTGGGAATTGTGTTTTCTCCTTCCTCGAGTCGCGGCTTCAATGACGACGACGACGACGTAACGTGCCGTCGACTCTTCCTTTTCCAAGTCAATCGCGTTTTTCGAAAGTGTAAGCAAACCAAAAAAAAATTGTACGTTGTTTTTCGACAGCTGCAAGGGTTTCTTCAAGAGAACAGTGCAAAACAGGCGGGTGTACACCTGCGTGGCGGAAGGTGGCTGTGAGATCACGAAGGCACAGAGGAACAGGTGTCAGTACTGTCGATTTAAAAAGTGCATCGAGCAGGGTATGGTTCTACAAGCCGTAAGGGAGGATCGCATGCCAGGCGGTAGGAATTCCGGAGCTGTTTATAATCTTTATAAGGTCAGTCAACACCATGTGTTATTACTCCTACTTACAAAGTAGACACTTTTTGTTATTTCATTACGCGATATACTTCGTTTACCAAAATAACATTAGTCACAAGATTTTGTTTGAAACATTAATGAAAGAATGAAACTACCTGAACTAGGCGTCAATTTGCAAAGATAATGATAAAAAATATCTTCCGATCAACAGGTTAAGTACAAGAAGCACAAGAAGGCGAACAAAAGCAATGTGTCAAGTAACATGTCAGTGCTGTCGGCTGCGGCTGGAGGTGGCCACCTCGGCGCCGGTGTGAATGGCGCTGGCAACAAGGCCAATATCGCCTCGGCTATGTTGGACAAGCACATCGTGGCCGCGGCGGCTGCCGCCCAACAGCAGCATCAGCAGCAACAGCAGCAGCAGCAGCAGCATCAGCAGCAACAGCAGCAACAGCAGCAACAGCAGCAGCAGCAACAGCAGCAACAGCAGCAACACCCTCAATTGCCCGGTATCGGTGGTGGTGCTGGTGGCGGCTTTATGCAACAGCATCATCATAAGCTTTCCGATAACGTCAACTCGCCACCGACGCCGAGCCATCCCAGTCATCCTGGACATCCGGGACATTTGGTCAACGGGACTATTCTTAAGACCGCCCTCACTAACCCTTCTGAAGTGAGTTTAAATATAGTCATCGACTTATTTAGCGTTACAATGAAGATCGTAAACCTCGGTAAAGCAACGTATCACGAGCTGTAATTAACTTATTGTTGCCCACGCGCGGGCTATAAGCTTCAGCCGATACCCGGGAAGGTCTATATCTTGCAGGAGCATATTACATCTTACGTAAGAGAATCGTTGTGAACTCTCGAAGGAAAAGTGGAAGTTCGCGCAGGATCGTGTTTTTGTCCGCGTTGCGCGATGAATGAACTCTCGCTCCCTGCAGTTTCACTTTTTTCGGCGACATCGTTGCGCAAGGAATTTATATATCAAGGTTTCCCGCATGAAGAAAGTTTCACGTGAACTTTAGATTAAACGGTGTGTTCCGTTGCTCTGTTCATTTTGCGCGCTATAAAAATCGAATTGCTTCTCGAGGGTTCGTCACAAATCTTGATTGAGAAAGCGTTGGTCAAATATTATAATACGATGAATAAATAAAATGAAATCTGAGCTCGTTTGCTGCAAATGATAAGGGAAATTCCGAGAAACGAAAGATATGTTGCACAAGGAAGCAAACCATTGTCTTTCTGCACTGGAACGATCGATCTTTAATTGCGCGTTATCAGTCGTATAGCAAGATCTCAGAACTTTTCCGATCTTATATTGCCAATTCTGGAAGTATCCAAAAGACTGACGAAAAATAAAAAATCCAGCGCGATTATACATTCCTTCCTCGAGCACACACAAACACACACACACATACACACACAACGAGCATCACCTGGTTAACTTTCGTTTTCCATACGCGAGCTCTCGCGCGCGTGGGGTATAACCGAGGCCATTGCCAAAAGTGAAACTTGTTAGCCTGCGTTGCGCACGTCGTCTTGCCCAATCTCACTCTCAACAGTTCGTTGACACCCAAAGTCGAAAAAAAGATCAGGTGTGCACGTATCTATTGACACGCTCATGTGCGCGTGTGGCAATAATAGCATAATTATAGAACGTCGCACTTGATCGTGACAAATAGCTGTACGTGTGCAGCGAGTGGCTACGAGGCGCACAATAGAAAATACGACGCAGCGCGCGGGCAGGCAGCAGAGTGCCAAGGACGACGGCGGCAGCGAGCAGCTCTCGAGCGCGGAGTTTCGTAACTTGTGAAAGTCGCTCTCTGCAGCGCCAGTGCCATAGGGACACTGACCTCTCGTGCCCGCGGCCAATTGCGCGCAGATGCTACGCGATGAGCACTTCGTCTTTCGTCACGAACGACTCTAGGGCTCGCGATTTGTTCTCATCTCTCAGTCTCTCTCTCTCTCTCTCTCTCCCTCTCTCTCTTTTTCACTCTCTCTTCATTGGTGCACATGCACAACTCGCTACGGCCTTGCTCTGCCGTCTGTTTATCTGAAACTTTCTATGCCAACATTTTTTGGCAAGAGTTTCGAGTCTGGAGCGAGCGAGAGAAATCAAAACTTTCACAAGAAAAAGGACACGTGTGCGCGAGCGCGGCGTTTCGTCGGCTTTTAATATGCCTAGGTATTCGGAAGAAAGATCGAAGATAAAGATGTCTGGAACAAAAGGATAATTAGAGAGAGAGAGAGACTGTCGATTGTTTCCTCGCGATAGTCTGCAAAAATACCCCGACTGAAAGGCACAATGCAACTTCCTACTTGAGCACAGCGCGCTTCCTCGTTACAGAGCTTTGTTTTTCCTTTTCGCAGGTGGTGCATTTACGTCAAAGGCTAGACAATGCCGTAAGTAGTTCGCGGGATCGAGCTTTTCCTCTGGACACAACCCTCGCCATGATACAAACCCTCATAGACTGCGACGAGTTCCAAGACATCGCCACGTTGCGGGTAAGATGAAAAGCGCGAAATATATCACGTGACGTACTGACAATGCATCGTTTACGCAGAACTTGGACGAGCTGTTAGATCACAAATCAGACCTAAGCGAGAAACTCTGTCAGATCGGTGACAGTATAGTTTACAAGCTGGTGCAGTGGACCAAACGGTTGCCGTTCTATCTGGAACTGCCAGTCGAAGTGCACACGAGGCTGCTCACGCACAAGTGGCATGAGCTACTTGTACTCACCACCTCAGCTTACCAGGCGATGCATGGACCGCACAAAGTTTCCAATTCGGGTAACGATCCCACCGGCGCCGATTTCAACCAAGAGGTTCGTTTTTCGCCCCTTCTCTCTTGCACGACTCCTCGGCTCAGATCATTTTCACCTCTTGCACCTTTGTCTTTCATAGGTTTCCAACAATATGTACACGTTGCAAGCTTGCCTTACGAGCATGATGGGTAGGCCGATAACGATGGACCAATTGCGGCAGGACGTTGGTCTGATGGTTGAAAAAATTACTTACGTCACGCTCATGTTCAGGAGAGTCAAACTGAGAATGGAGGAGTACGTCTGTTTGAAAGTCATCACGATGCTTTCGCAAGGTAAAAAATCATTCTTTCCTCTTTGGACCTTTTCCTCGGAGTAGCTTTTCTCTCTTTCGATAAGAACTAACGCTACGATTTTCACTTACCGCTGCCATTGCAGATGCAAAATGTAAGACAAATAAAAATGAAAAGTGTCTCTTCAATAATTAATACCCTTGACGACAGTGTCGTTTCTGTTCACAGCACGAGATGGTGCAGCGGAATTAGAACAAATTCAAGAACGGTACATGGGCTGTTTACGAAGTTTCGTCGAGCACAGTGCTCCGCAGCAGCCAAGTCGCTTTCACGATCTTCTCGTCAGATTGCCCGAAGTGAGTTGCTGCTCATTCAAATGAACTTTCGTTTCTTTTACATTTTTTTGCTCGTGCACCGCCGAAAATTTCAGCGCGATGACTTTCTTCCGGTCATTGAGTCACTTTCAATTAATGGACTGTTGGACTTTCTAAACCAATAAAACGATCCGCGTAAAATTCATTTAACTGAATTGCTCCTTTTTTAGGTACAATCGGCGGCAGCTCTACTACTCGAGAGTAAGATGTTCTACGTTCCTTTTCTATTGAACTCAGCAATTCAAAGATAGTAAATAAAAGAGCTGACAATTGAAGCTGACTACCTATACATATATAAATATATACATAAAAGAAGAGGAAGAGAAATTGAACAAACAAAAGCCAGGGAACGACGAGATCACTATGAAAAGTGCATCTCGTACGTAGCGTCGCGTCGCGCCCGAGCCGAGTACTCGACGATGACGATGAGCTCGGCTCTGTTTGTGTATATAATAATAAACTATAATATATTATAAATATTATATAAGTATATAAATAATATAATTGTGTGTGTTCGTCGCGTTGTACAAACAAAAAAGTATAATAAAGTTAATCGAGAGATAGCGAGATAGGACGACGGGTTTAGGAGAGAGAGGAGAGATTCAACGGATTAGGACTGTGAGAATTTGAATAAGTCGATTTGCGTGAGAGAACACAATGCTATTTCAATAAATAGAGATATTCGTTTGCGAAAGAATGATTGAAAAAAAATGAAATTTTAGCAAAAAAAGTAACAAATAATGATGACGATGTTGGGCGAATAAATCGAGAAGGACTGAACTTTTTTATCGAAACTAAAAGACTATATTAATAATATATTTCTGTACGCAGTCGAGAGAAACTAGGTCATTGTGAGTTCACATTGCATAATCCGAATCGATGATAAGACTCTTTATTGTAAAATGTACCGCTCGTTAGTAAGGGCCAATCTTACGAAAACAAAAAAAAAATAAAAAAATAAAAAAATAAGTAACGTACACCGCCATTTTACTGTCGACAAGCAAAAAAGCAGAATTACCACTCTAATTGTAATATCGAGAGAACGGAACGCTGCAAGTGAAGAGGATGAAAAAATAATTGAAAATAATCTGTACAGCAAAAAAAAACGGGAAATTGACTCTGTTTTATAAATGTCAGCGTCCTATCCGGGGATACCACAAATGTGTTTATTTACGATATACTTGCGATATATACTATATATTTCCACGCGGACTAATACTAACTTATGGCTGCCACCGCATGTATAGATAAAGGAAAAAAAGCATACACAAATACACACGAACACACAGATATACACGTAGTAAAGAAAAAAAAAGGGATGAGAAAAAAAATTTCGAAGCGCGGGTCGGTTGTAATTATTTTTCGAATCCTTTGTAAAGAATGACAAAAAACGAAAAGAAAAATGGATAAATATGAAAGAAGCCTTAAAACGGCGTCTAAAAACGCAATTTTATTATTACAATTACGTTGTATTACCGTTGTTATACATTTTACCTAGCATTAGTCATTATAACAGTCATTTTCTGTTGCCGCTATTATTACGTAGTCGCAAGGAATTTTTACCAACGTCAGTTACCGATTTGTATACTTATTGTAACGATAATTAATTAATTATATACTGCCAAAGCGATTGTCGGCCTGATACACACGTACACGCGCGCATAATATCTCTCTTTCAAATCGTTCAATAATCAAAATACATCATGTCTTGTAAAACTAATTATTCGGATTTTACGTAGATTTTAAGCAATTCAATTGTGATCGACACACAGATTTCTTTACGACTATATAAAACCTACTGTGTTCTGGCAAAAAGAAAGCAAATTCTGTTACAACGACGAATGGAACCGTCAACGTAAAAAATAATTATTGTAAAAAAATCAGCGCCGACGATATGTGTTCAGTTGTCAATGAAAAAGTCTGAGGAAAACGCACGCAAAACGAAAGCAAACAACAAAAAAGATAACTATTAAATTTCTAAGTTCGACCGATCTTTTTCCATATTTTGATAAAGTTAAATAAATAACCGCTTTGTTAAAAAAATAAACATGCCAGCATATAGTCTTTACCTTCCTTTCTTCAAACTCAATTCTCATCTCTAGCAACTTTCAATACAGCAATTTCATCAGACTTTTACAATTTCACTCTCGCATAATATTTCAAAGAAGCATAAGCTGAGTTCAGTAATATTTAGGATACAAAAAGTATGCTGGGTTCAAACACATATCATTCTTTTACACTTCAAATCTGTGGAACAAAATAAATACTCGCAAAAATTTTCAACGTTCAAAAGATACGACATATTTTTGATACTTAAAGCTAATACCATCTCTAGAGTATAATACGAAGATCTCATTTGCTAGTACTAAAAAACGATTTATTTTTCCACTGAACTAATAATTGGACAATAAGAATATTCAAACTGGCGTCCTTTGAGTTACATATTTCCAAGTACCACAAACAACTAAATGCATAAGTTTCTCTTTTGTTATTAATAATTGTAGTACGGGAATTCATTTTAATATACTACCTGATAATTATTTTAATACTTTCACTGCCAGAAAGAGTAATAATAAATCTCTCCTTTGGTGTAAACGAGCCCAGCATGCTATGAATGTGTACGAAAACAAATACATACTATTTAAATTTGAAATCTGTAAAAACATAGCAATGAAGACGACGACGCGTTACGAGACTTTAACCAAATTAGTTTTATCCTTGCTAAAAGAAGAAAATTATGCAAGGTTACCACAATTAAACCTTAGATACACGTTACCGAATGATAAAAAAAATTATACACGCATACCCACACGGTTGTAGATCCCGCATTGACTTATTGTATCCAATGAAGGTCGAAAGCAATCGAAGCATCTGTGCAAGCGAAATCTCTCCTCGTCTTTTCACGTTTTCACGAGAATTTGTGATAAGTCGAAAAAATGAATGTTTCCAGGTCTTAATATTAATTACGTTGATCCCCTGTCGAAGACTGCATTTATTTACGTTTAATTTTTAGCGAAGGAAAGAAAACAGACACCCATAACGTTATTAAACTAAAACTTGCTTCCTTTCTTAATTCATCTTGTGAGCGTGGGGTGAGAAGTAATTCCGAATGTACGATGCGATCGATGGTCGATTTTATTTATAAATAGAAGCTCGAATTGTTAAAGCGAATAATAAAGAAAAGCGTTATTATGAGAAAAAAAAGTATACCAGTGGTTGAAGCTAGTTTATATATTGAAAAAAAAGACAAAAAACAATAAAGAGATTCGTTACTTTATAAATATTATTTCTACGAGTGTGTATGCATGAATAATGCGCAACTGAGCAACTAGAGGTTTTGAAGTGAACATTTGAAAAGCTGTGGAGGATAGACGAGAGAAATAGAAAAGCTAAATAATATTGTTTCGACGCCGTTGAAGCCTTCATTTGACGTCTTGCCACCGTAGAACTTCTATATTGTTGAGAAGCATATATTTTTTCTTCTTCTGTTCGGAAACCGAGGCGCTGACACTCGCGATTTTATGTATTTTTTTCAGTATAACATTGTATCCTGGCATTTGGAGAATCCGTAATAAATGGAGCAACGAATTGCGAGTCCTTTACTTTGCATCGCTCTTTTCGACTGATCCAGAGTGGAAATTATCGTAAATGAAAGAAAAATACAAATAAAGGCTGAATTCTAATAAATGATTCTCTGTTATACAGAGATTATGAAAATGATTGCGAGAACTAAAAATTATAATGAAAAATTAGACTATTGCAATTGAATTTTTTATACAATGATATTTTGTATTATCGTATGCGATTTGAAAATGAAAGAACATAAAACCTTTAAATATGATTTTTAGCGAGAAAAATGACAGATTTATTCTAAAATTTACTAATGAAATTTCTTGAGTGAATAGAAGAAAGAATTTATAACTTGTCTAGATCCCTAATGTAAAAACAAAAGATTATAGTGTAACGATGGGACAGACTTTTTATTAAGCAAGCTACACTAACTCAGCAGCGTTGATTAAACAAAACAATTATTTTACCACACACTGTACATATGTTTTATTGATTTTTTCTGTAATTATTTATTCTTGGTGTAAAATAAAAGAGGTGATATTGTTGTATCACACAATTGAAAAAAAAATCACACTTACGCATAATTAATATTTTTCAAACATCTCAAGGTAACAGATATGACAGGCATTTAAAAAAATCCAATTATCGCGAGTTCAAGCGCCTTTGAGAGTACGAATTTAAAAAACGTTAATAATAATCACACGCTAATTTACGTTGAGAAAGAGACTCGATTGCAAATAAAAAGAATATTAACACTTCTCAGCGTAAACCTATGGGAAAAAAATGAATGATCACACGGACCTTGGGCCTAGTTAAGCCTGAGGCTGCTTGTCCATATGATAAGACTTAAAAGTACTAGCGATGACGATTACTTCGTAAAAAAATAAACTTGTATATTATTTGTGGATAAGGAAGCTCATCGCGGTGTAAGGCTTCTTCAATAAGTACTCTTTCACATCGTCGTACGCCTTAATTGTGTTCAATTGGATGGTCGACGAGGTCATTGTCATGAGCATATTCTTTTCGTTTTTTTTTTCTGCTTTTTTACTTTATTACGCATTCTCCTTCTCATTGTTTTATTCTTTCAGTTTTCTTTCGTTCACCGTTATTGCGAGCATTAAAAGAAATTCATATCTACTCTGTCAATTTTTAGATAGTGTACATAGAACTTGGACGTTCAGGGCGTCTATACAGAAAAATTGTAGCGAAAAAATAATAAAATTAATTAGGCAACTAAGCGTGACTACGACTGCCATTAATATTTTTTTAAAATATTTTATTAGAGTATATCACGCTTGAGCTTGCACAACTATTTTTTTACTTTCTTTTCCATGTCATCCTTCATCCTCATATTTCTATTGTTGTTCATTTTATAATTTTACGTTATTTCATTCTCTATTATCATGACTATATTACAGACAAGTCGAACTATCTAAAGAATTTGTATAATAATTAGTGTATAATATGGTAAATAAATAGGTTTAAAATAAAATTAACTAGAAACATTTTTGAAATCATGTTAGTACACCGATGCCGGAGGAAAATGAAGGAAAAGAGGCCTTGCATCGTGAACAGCTCGAAAACGCTGTATCAGCAAGACTTAGGGCATTATACTACCGAGAGTATTATCGTGCCCAACCTTTAATAATTAAGTGCGAGTGAGAGTCTATATTCGTAAAAACAAAAAATTAATAATAATAATAACGATAACGCAAAATGAAAAGAAAAAAATTCACGCTCACGCACGCGTATACACGTAAGCCTGACTCTCGTTTGTGGGTTGAATAAGTTTGTAAATATTGTAGGCAAATAAATTGGATATGATGAAAGAAAGATGAAAAAAGAATAACTACGTTGAAAGTACTAGTCTATCTTTGTGTACCATAATCTTGTTTAGCAATGAGTACTTTACATAGTATTATGTGTTTTAATGAAGTTTTATTCTTGTTGAATATATCGAGATTTAGAAAATCAATTTGTGTTTGACATGATGACCAAACATCGAGTAAAAAACAATTCACGATCTTACCAGGATTCGATCGTTTCTTTTGCAATCAATTAATAATAAAAATAAGAAAAATATGTTATTAGATTGTCAAATAAAAATAAAATAAAATATTGTTCTTCGTAGCTTCATACTTGTGAATCATTGCTTACGAATCTATCTGTTTTTAAGCTTGAATTAGACGAATTTCCAATCTAATCAAGATTATCAAAAGATTTTTGATAAAAGGAATATATAAAAAAAGAATATGTGAGTGACGACAACGCAGAACGAAAAAATAAATTATTTTTACAACTGATTTTTACTGCAAAATAAAAAAAAAAAGTAAACAAAAGGACTGACGAAAATTCGACGAGATAATTGTAAGTGATAATAAGGCAAGAGAGTTTCAACCCAAAAACGACAGGCAGTCGAGAAAGAAAAAAATAGAGACGATTAAAAAAAACGAAAGGACGAGAGGACAAGTTTAGCGAAGAAGTAGTGGAGAAATTGCGCTTTTAAAAAGCGTCACTTATCTCAGCGAGATACTTTTTCAAACGAGTGAGTCAAAGTTACCAGTTTCAATATATGTTTAGGGGAGTACTTTTTATTATCTCGTGTTACTTTCGACTATTAATTTTGTAATTGATATCAGCCACCGCGAAACAGATGTCGTTATTGCTATTGAACATATTGCCGAGTTTGAACCTTTATGATTCCTTGAGAGAGTTCGTGAATGATCGATTGTTTTCGCTGAATTCGCATACCGTTTTTCAAAAGTAATTCACCTTGCTCATATTTACACAATTTAATCTATATAGATAGAAGTGATAGTGTGATAGCAATCTATATGAGAATAAATGTAAACTACTTGCATACTTAAAAATTAAGATAAACTAATAACAATTTTGCACTAAATAAAAAAAAATTTTTTTCATCAATGTATAAAAAATATTGCATCGTCGATTACTATCGAAAAATGGTCCATACAATGCACAATCTATGTTGATTTTTGTTACGGTAACTCTCAATCAAAATTTAATTCGAGTGCCACTTTTATGAAAAAGTATATTTGATAAAGAAGCACTTGAAAATACATGTTAAAAGTGGCATTTCGACAACATTAAAAACTTTACACGCACATATAAATACGTAGAAGAAATATAAAATCCATGTATTAAAAAATTTTTGGTACTGCAGAACACGGCTCGGCAATAGCATTCTACAAAGCACACATCTGGATCGTTGGTTTGCGCAAAAAAAATACCCTTGTATTTTTATGAATAAATAAAATATTTTAAAAGAAAAGTAAATCTGAAGTCTGGTTGGATATGCCTTTCATAGGGATTATAAATGTAGATAATATATTATACATAATGAACATAAATACACTATATATTATTATATATAGATAGTAAGAAGTAAATAGAATTATTATTATATACATGACGAAAAATAATATTATTACGATTAAATAAACTGATTAACGATTAATAAACAATTGAGTTCTTTATTTACATATTTGTTTAACCTTGATATAAAAATGTTGCTTTCTACATTTTGAGCGAGATTATTATGGAGTTTAAAGGCCTTTTAAATTTTATTTTATCTTATCAAAGTTATACCTATGTGAACCACGGGTACGTTTGCTATAAAAAAATACGGGACATAAAAGACAGGGTAGCCAAACTAACTGGAGGTATAAGTGGAATGGGATACACATTTATCATTTATTGTAATAGGATGGAACAATAATAAAAGAAAATCAGAAACAATTAAGTATTTAACAGTTTTTGATATTGCTACAGGTAATTATTATTAGAATGAAGTTGCAAAACCGTTTTGTTCACATATAGGTAGAGTCGAGCTCAAAATAGATTATATAACATGCATTTGATTGCGATAGAAATAAAATTTCATTTGAAAATGTAAGTTTTTAATTGGTTTTCAGAAAAGAATTTTAGTCAATCTAATAACAATCATGTACATTAATAGACATAAAGATAATCAAGTGGGAATGATCATTAATGTGTGGTTTCAGTTATTGGTTTATTGGATTACAGTATGTCACAAGATCTGTAAATGTATCAATTGAAAAAAAAAATTTAATTAAATTTATACTTTTGCTGATACGAGCGTTATGTCAGAAACATGATAAACATACGGGAGTCAAAATATGGGCCATTCGACCTGGACATACAAATACCAGATAAAAAATTGTAATGTCGAAGAAATATAACATACTGTAAATTGTTTATATCATTGCTGAATATAAACATTTTTTATCAGATCTGCAAATGTTAGTGATGTGAACATGCAACTAGTATTCAAAAAGGATTAATCTACATTTAAAACAAGTTCGATTGATACTTATCACAGAAAATCATTCATTTATCATGAAGCCCTAAGATTCTTTTACTGATAAAATTAAATATCAGTTTTTTAACAAGTGTTTGAAATGTGTAAGGACAAGAAATCAATAACCAAATCCTAGATTATTATTTTAATATTTTTATTACAGATGTTTACGTTAACATAACAAAGTCTTATACTTTCAAGGTACATGATGATCATTTACAATGAGTTCTAAGTGTGAGATCTTTTAAAGAATTATTATGTAATTTTCAAGCTTTTGCATTTGCTTGACGTAAACAAGAATATTGGCAAAGAAAACGCACGTAAACTTACAAATAGAAATTATTCGAGTCTTCCTGCTTCGTCTGTATAAATTTCTCACCTGCGAACATTTTTTCCTAATCACACATTTATTTTACCATAAAAAAATAGCAATAACATAGTTATTATATATAGCTTAATGATACATTGGCGGAAATAATACATCAAATTGTAATTTGTTTAAGCGCTCGTCTTCGGAAAACTTGAACAATTTTGATTAAACATATAGTTGGATAGACATTTTTATTAGAATGTGAAAATCCTACAAGATAGACGTGATTTGAAAAACTATTTCAGTATAATTTACACGTTGTCGCATATATTGGAAAAGCTTGCGTATACGCCAGTTATACTAAAAGCGAATGCAAATCTTATGATTCTTCGTGAAAATGTTATTGAGGTAAGTACAACGTAAGAAATAAGACTGATTTAAATGTAAATGTGCGTTTGCAATATTTTCTAAATTACAATTGATAAACTATTTGAAAAACAATCGTCTTATTTCTCACCTGGAATACGAACTGATAATATTTTATACGTATAATTCCCTTCCGAGCTGTCAGAGTTTGCCTTAATTAATAAAATTAATCAATAAATGAATAACATTTGAAATATAAGCGTGCGAGTTCGATGAAATGACAGAACAGTGGTAAAAAATGAAAACCGTGAGGAGGAGGTAGATAAGGCAATATAGATAGTGCATATCACTTTGAGTAGTAAGCAAGACTTTATGAGTTGACTTTATTTTAAGAACTACAATAAAACCATAATTCAGTTTGAAATCCAATTTTTAAATATACAAGTGTTGAGAAAATCAATAGTTAATATTTATAAACTGTTAATTTAAAAATAAATACATGAAGGCACATTTTTATTTGTTCATAATCATTTTTTTTCTACTATGAATATGTAGTACCAGATATGACAAAAAATAAAATAGAGAATTGAACTTATTAAAGCACTCTAATAAAGCAAAAAAAATATTTTTGTTTTGAATGGTTATTGAATATTTCTCAGGAAAATATATATTTCAAGACAAGATCAATATATCGTTATGTTAAGATATGATCGGAACTCAAGTTTTCAAATAAAAAAAAATAATCGTACCTAATTTCAATAAACAATTTACATTATGTTCAACTTTCCTTACTTTCCAGCACGAGAAGTCACAATTGGTAAATTCACTTTTTTCGTGATAAAAATTACTATTTTCTAGTAGACTGTCGTCTTTGAATTTTTCGAAGGCACTGCTCAAGGGGGTTTACATCATACAAAATACAGGAAAGATTTTAAGATGACATTGGCAAGACTGGCGAGAAGATAATTTCTTACATATAGACAAGTAGAAAATGTCAAATTTTAACATTTTTTTTCATTTAATTGATTTATAATTTAATGGCGTATGTAATTTAATTTATGACAGCCTCGCTCGATAAGTATAAAATATTATCAGTCGTGCGACATAACTTAATGTCTACTATTAAACGGCATATTCATTTGATATTAATTTAAAATAAATTTACAAGCAAATACTAACTTGAAGCACATTTTATGGATCACATTTTCAAAGTAATAAAAAAGTTGATAAAAATAAGTCAATCGTCAAGTGGTTATCGGAAATTAAAAATTCTCTTTAATATTACGTATTTTGTTTTCATTCGTTATACCTTCTGGTTAATAAGCAGCAAAATAACTAATAATTTGTATAAAACATATTTACACGTTAGATATCAAAGTGTTTAATCAAACAATCGTTCGTAATAATAATCGTTTTGCTTTTTGAATTCCAACGGTAACATCACTGTCTCTTCGCAAATTTAATAAATAGTTACCTTAATCATTATATTTTCACGATCAAATACAATTAAGTATCGTAAAACTTTGAAAAAATATAATCATTTCAAGCGTAAAAAGAAAAAGCAAAGACCACTTACAATTTATGCACAAAAAGATAAATATTTTAATGATATGGACATAATATGGACATAGTTTTTTGATTATATCAAACAATAATTGTTTCGATTCTTCTAGATAAATGTTTTACAAAACAAAATTATTTCACTAATACTTTTAAGACTAACGAATTTGAAATAAAAATTTAATCACAAAGTGCTCAACTCGATACATTGTGTATTGTAAAAATGATTAAAAAATAAAACATGTATTTTATTCATAACATATCAATGCATAATATTTGTGATATGATCAAAGGGATGTAATACCTCATTGTTTGTTTTCCTGTTGCCGATGACAATTCTTTGCAACATTATTTATTCCGGAATAATAAATAACTGATAAAATGATCAAAGATACGTCATCCCTTCAATTTACAAGTACATTAGTGAAGAGTCCTTATGCAACAGAATTGATATGTTTAAAAAAACCGAAACGCGAAAATTACGTGCTGATTTTGCGTTTGATGCCTAATCAACAAGAGACCCACCGATAAAATTACAACCTTTCGAACTTGGTTTATTTTCATTCGCGTTTGAAAAAACTTGTTAAATAATGTGTATTATATCAAGGATTTATATTATGTACCGGTGACGGAATTCAGGTTGATAATATATATGGTGTACGCATACGCCATATACGCCCCGCGATGTATAACAAACTTCTTTTTTAATACATGATTTTTTGGAGCGTACAAGTAACGTGCGTTTACTTCACCGTTTAACTTTTCTTTTCATTTTTTTCGCTATATTCAATATATAATATATGTATACACACGAACGCTTACTAATTTAGAGGCACATTGCTAAGGGTCTCGGTTCTCGTCTTCAAAAAAACACGCTTTTTGCTCCCACGTACGAGAGCGAGAATTCCACTATCTACAAAGAGTATTCCTTTTTAATAAGTTTTTTTTTTCGTCTACGACAAGAGTTTCATCATTAATATTGTTTCTATTAGACTGCTATTGATTTCGCTCTACGCGTCATGTTATTAATTTTTTTTTGTTAATTATACAGCTAGGAACAAAGAATCGTCGTGGAATCACGGGAATAAGTTACCGAAAAATAATTTCATAGACAATTTATATCATATAAGAAAATGCTGCACTTAATGAAGCGAATTTTCTTGTAATTGATTCTTTTCGATTTTATTTTTTATCAAGTCGCTTGATGTTTGAATTTTAATTAATTAAGCTAACGAAATACCTAGTATATTTTTTTTTGGTATTCAGAAATTAACTATTTCTGACTGAAGTTAACTATGTCCAATACTGATCTATTTTAATTTAAACTATAAGCAATGCACGCACGCACGCACGCACACGCATACACACACATGTTTACACACGCAGCATTCAACTGTATGATCAATATAATATAAATAACCTATAAGCAATATCTAAATTATATTAATTAATTTTACATTTTCAAACAAAAAAGAAAGTGGTAATATCATGAGATATTTAATGTTTTTTAACAATAGTCAATGATATTGTGCTACATATTATTAAATACACCTTTAATACATTAATATTGAACACCTCATCATTAGTTTGAATACGTTATTTAAAAATATTTACTTTGTACTGTTGGAACATTGATTTTATATTGAATGGTGTAAACAGAATACATTGTGTGTTTTAGTTTTTTTTAAGTAAATCGCTTGAATTATAATATATATCCGCATTAAAAACAAAAAACATATTTCGATAGCTTACGTCCGTGTTTAGTTACGTGTATAATCTTGCACACGATATTTTTTAAAGTTGTTGAAGAAGCAATTTTTCAACTTTAAACCTTAATTCTAAAGCACTAAATTCTCTTAAAATCATGATCACCTTTACATTATACTTAATACATACTGTTGTTTTTATTTTGAATTATTGCGATAACTTGAAAATTAACGTTTGAAATAGAAAAATTGCATCAGCAAAAAATGTAAATATATATATATTTCCATTGATAAAACTACTCCTGAATGACTTATTCAGCGCCATCTCTTTCGTTTTTATCAAAATTTAATAACAAAACAAGGAAACATACCACAGTGTGAGCAACACAGTAAAGTTAACAATTGATTATATATTTTTTTGCGTAAAAATACCTGGTAAAATTATGTAAAATACGCATATATATTTAACTACTGAGAACTTTGGCTACTGCTATCAGCTATCGAACACACAGAGCAAGACTCTCTTGATCAGAGAATACTACTTGCACAGCTTTCTGTAACGAAAGAATGCAGAAACTCGCACAAAATGAGTATCAGAGCTATTTATTAAATTCCAACCAAATTCAACTTAACCCTGCAACCTACTTTTCCAATTATAATTGTTATTATTGCTATTTCGTAAAATAAACGTTGATTTTCATTTAAAAATTTATACTTCAATATTGTATACAAGTATTTAAAAATAATAGCTTTTTTGACTAATTCATGATCATTTTTCATAATTAGATGCCCGTTTACATATAGGACAAGAAAAGAAGTGGACCTTTTAACGTTTCTTCAGGTTTCAGGAAGACTTTATTGATACTATTTGTATGCTCATTTAGTGCTAAACCTGAATTCCACACCATTTTTTAATTTTTTTTCCAAATCTCATAGCAAAGAAGCATTCTTGTAACCCAGAGCCTCATTGGAATGTTTAAATACACTTAGTTATCTCCTCGACTAGAACATCATTAGTCGTTGATCTTTTCTCCTGTCTCACTAATAATATAATTGTAACATAAGCTCTGAAAGCTCGTGGAAGGATAAGAGCGAGTGCCGCTGTTTCCTCGAGGTTTGTATGTATATGTGTGTGAATGCTCCACAGAATGTACATAGAATAACAAAAAGCATCTAGACCAGTTTTTTGTTTTCTTTTATCCTTTCCACTGAAGAAATACAAAGACTGAACGCGTTAGCTTACAGCCTTTAGTTCTCTTTAGTTTACGCCATAATCTTCTTTTTTTTATTTATAAAAACTTCGTAAAGTTCTCTCAAAAACCTACAAAACGATCGATGTGTTCGAGTGGATAATACTCTCAATCTTTAGACTCCTTTCAACCAATTAAAAAAAGAAAAGAGAAAACGAGACTCAGACTCGATAAGGAAAACAAATAAATTAAAAAAATTGAGGGACAAAGGAATAACTATCCGTAGACCTATCGTCTTTTTCCATCGCCTCTTCGGAGCACAAAGGTAAATCACAAAAAGTAAGGAGTGGTGTATGTAGGAGGGATCACCCGTTCGCAATTTGGCACCGCTTCAAATAGCACCGCGATCTTTTCATCTACTGTGTTGAATCGTAGGATACTTGCGACATTTCCACAACGGTAACAGTAATTCGGAGCCGACCATACTGTAACTAACTTGTCGTCGAACATATATCGATAGCCTATTAGATAATTAAGAAGATAATTTAATATAAGTATAAATTTAATTTCACAATGTACTGGAAAATTCTATTTGAGTTGAGGAGATTTTACCTTCATTTACTAGTTGATGAGCCCTACAAATAAGTTCAAGGTTGTTTATTTCCATAAATAGGTGCGTTATATTTGCTCCAAATAACCAACCAGCTCCTCTAGGACTAACTGTCCACGTTTTGACATCTTCTGGATCTGACCATACTAAATCACAGAATGCTCCTATTAACAAAAAGTTTTCAAATACATTAATTTCAAGTACTTTTAAAAGTATTATAATGTTGAATTATTTTAAAATAATGGAAGAATTTACCTTTATGAGGAATTTCTTGTTTTCTATCAATTGTTCTAATTTGATCAAGAGTCTTGATAGTTGGTGATAAACCACCATGTACACAAAGGACTTGTTCATCAATTAACTGTATGGGAAACACAAATAATATTATTGATAAATTATATGTTACTTAGTATTAAAATACTAAAAGTACATACGGCAGCAATTGTGAGCAGATCAAATACCCTGCAGCAATATTTCCATGCATTTGCATTTCCATATTTATTTAAGCATTCATCTAAAGTATAAATAACAGTTTGAATGGAATCTAATATTACGAATCTAATATACGAATTTGAAACATTAAAAAATTAATAAGACTGACCATAAAAACCATATACATGAGTGATTTGTCTTGATTCATGGTTTCCACGAAGTAGTGTTATTCTGTCGGACCATTTTGCTTTTAAAGTTAACAAGCGGGTAAGTGTTTCTAAGCTATAATAACCTCGATCAACAAAGTCTCCCATAAATATGTAATTTGTTTCAGGCACAGGTCCTCCATTGCGAAAAAGCTCTTCTAAATCATAGAACTATAAGAAATTAATTGTTATCATTATTCAAAACTATATTCAAAAAAAATTAATTGTAAAAGCAAAAACTCCTGAATAATAAAGAATAAGTTTAATTTTACAAGTATTTTAATATATGGTTTAGAGACTTAATTTGTACTATAATAAAGATATATATACAACTGCAAAATATTAAAAAATATAGGACTGAGAAGTAATTAACATAATAATAATCAATTTAGCACTTGTTAGCATGGTACTATAGAATTGATTATCTAGTCAGCTATTTGCTTCAGAATAACTAGTAGTTTATTATAGAACATTAGGAAATAGTTGGCAAGTTGCAAAAAGAGCGCAAATCGAATTGACGTTTAGTTACATTACTATAGATACACGTAAATATCGTTTCGCAATGACTAAACGAAATATGAACTATAAGCTGCTACGAAAATTTTACTTTGAGGTTAGGTCACTTACCTGGCCGTGGATATCCCCGCAGACAGTAACCGGAGTCGAGACGGGCTGAATGTTCGACTCCTCTAAAAGAATATCACACACCATATCGCAAAGTTTCTGTCGATATAAAAAAACGTTATGTCAGTTACCGTGAGAGAAAAAATTCTCGAATAACCTATACATTCCATTTCATATAATTTTATGATTTCTGCTTTGAAATCACTTACCTTCAGATCATTTTCAGGCAAATATTTGCAGTCCTTCGCGATCTCGATCCACTTGTCGATGTTTGACATTTTGAAACCTTCTTTTCGAGAAGTGTAGGCTGCCTCGAAGACGAAAGAAAAACTCACACTTTACTTCAATGCGTTACGTAGGCTAGTTCTCAACTGCATCAGCAGTTGCGGTGAGGACGCGCAAATCTGCTGGTCGCCGGTTCCTTTTCTCTCGTTATCGCCATTCACCTTTGCTTTCGTCTCTCTCTCTCTCTTTCTCTCCTACGGAAATATGCCGCGACTACGATGGCAAATGTTCTCTTTTTCTTTTTTTTTCTCTGGTCACTGATACGTTTTGATCATCATCACGGTGGGGATCGGATCGTCTTAAACTTCTGCACATGTAATCGGCGCGTGCAGACGCCCCCTTCACTTTGTGCCTATATGCATATGTGTTTGTGCTCTCGCTATCTCTATCTCTATCTCTATCTCTCTCTCTCTCTCTCTCTCTCTCTCTGTTAGATTAAATTTTTAAATTGTTCTGCTAAAAACTATATTACTATTATTTATATAATTTGCAATCACAATAATTATTCCTATTTCCACAATATAAATTCCTATTTTATTAAAAGAAAAGAAATTGTTATAAATAAATTATACAGTACATTGACTACAAAACTCTGATAGTAAATTGTCAACTCATAAACTTTAAGGTAGCCTCGTTACAGCTCGTTCAAATTTTCCAAACTCTGATTATACTCCATTAAGCGATGTAAACAGTATGTGTTCTAAATTTAAAAATGTAGAAAAATTATATCCATAACCAAGAGAATTAATATTATAAAAAATGTAATTTAATGTTAAAGATCCGAATATATTTGGACTTCCTCAAGATATTGTTTTAGTACTTCTCAAGATATTATCTGTAAAGTATTGTTTCGTTGTTGAATAACTGTTAAGTAAACCTCATTAATAGAAATATATACCAGCTGTTATAAATTAGATCGTTTGAATTCAATACGCGATCTGGCGGTAGCAATAAAAATTCCTGAAACATATATTTTTGCTATAATGTCAGTCTATCTCACTCTCACTCTCTCACTCTCTCACTCTCTCACTCTCTCACTCTCTCACTCTCTCTCTCTCTCTCTCTCTCTCTCTCTCTGCTATGAATTTTAACAGACGATACTGTACAGTTTTTTGTGCGGCTACGTTCGGGAAATAAACCGGCCGGTTATATCGTTGTTGTAGCTGTCTTAAAATTTAAGATTTATAGAATTTTTATTTTTTAAGTTGCAATAGAACATCATGGTTAGTATTTCGAAATTATCAGTGACGTTGTTTTCGCAGAAACGACCAGTTATCAATCACCTAAGTTCTCGAACGCTTGCCACTGTTGCCAAGAAATATGTATTCTCACATCAATTCGTTGGAGAACCTAAACCAACGGATCTCATTATTGTCGAGGAAGTTTTGCCGGCTCTCAAAGATGGAGGTGAATTTATTTTTTAAACCACCAAGTACTAAGTGATAAGCGCATTTTTATTTATCTCGTTCGTCAGCATGACTGACATTTTTTCTAACTGATTTACTCACTCTTCCAATAATGATGAGTCTTTAACATTTATTTGTTTTTTTAAATTAATTTTGAAAAACTGGAAAAATGCAATATTCAAAAGTTTTTCAAAATTTTCAACTTTCATAGATTAATTCATAAACAAGATTAATTTACGAAATAAAAAAAAAGCTAATTCTTGTAAAAATTATTTGACAGAGATTCTGATCGAAGCTGAATACCTCTCCTTGGATCCTTACATGCGTGCTTATGCTCCATGGTTAAAAACAGGATCTACGATGATAGGCGCTCAAGTTGGTAAAATCCTCGAGTCGAAACACCCTAAATACCCAGTGGATAGGAAAATTCATGGTTATTTCGGTTGGAGAACTCACACGGTCGTCAATCCAGATGAGTCAGCGAGCAAAGAACAAATCATGAAGGACAAGCCTTATTTATTGCCAGACTTTGGACATTTACCGTCGTCGTTGGCTGTCGGAATGCTGGGAATGCCAGGGTATTCGTCTCATTTCTTTAATTCTCTTTTGAATTGCAATACATTTTCATGATGGCATTTATTTTCAGAAACACGGCGTATTTCGGATTTATGGACATATGCAAACCGCAAGAAGGTGAGACAGCTGTAGTTAGTACGGCAGCTGGAGCTGTAGGAATGCACGTTGGACAGCTTGCGAAAATTCACGGCTTGCAGGTGATCGGTATCACTGGTTCTGATGCCAAGTGTAAATGGGTGGTCGATGATTTGGGCTTTGATCATGCTATTAATTACAAAACTCAAGATGTCAGTGCAGCTTTGAAAGAGGCTGCGCCTAAAGGATTCGATTGTTACTTTGACAATGTATGCGAAATGTTGTAAATTCTCTATTTCAATATTGAAATTCGAAAATATTTATTGTCTATAGGTTGGAGGTAATATCTCGACTTCAGTCATTTATCAGATGAAACTCGGTGGTAGAATTGCCGTTTGTGGTAGTACTTCGTCATACAATAGTCCATCATTGCCTAAAACCAGTATCCTGCAACCTGCCATAGTCTTTAAACAATTGAGAATGGAAGGATTCGTGGTAACTCGTTATGGGGATCGTTGGTTCGAAGGTATCGAAAAAAATATGGGCTGGATCAAAGAAGGCAAATTGAAATACAGAGAAACCGTTACGCATGGTTTTGAAAATATGTATAATGCTTTTTTGGGTTTGCTGAGAGGCGAAAATATTGGAAAAGCTGTTGTTAAAGCATGAAAGTACAAAGTTGTCTTATTCGGTTGTTGGAGATATAATGTAATATATTTTATACAATATTTGTAATTTTTATAATTTGTTATTGTTTTTTGTAGTACAAAAAATGTTTTTTGTTCAATTCAATAAATCAATATTTCTGTATTAACCGATAATTAATCAATGATTAGGTTAAAAATGGTTTTAAAAGTTTTAGTATTGAATCTTCGAACTTAATTTTCAAAGGTTTTGCGTCGAAGATATATGAAAATGTGCTCAAGCGCACAAAGGAAGACTGTATTTGCGCAAGCGCTATATCCAATTCAATAGACGCTTTTATACACAGACGTGTAAGAATGATCTATATCCTTTTTCTATTTTGTTTCATATATTCGAATATTTTTCATGCACCATTTATGAAAAAAAACAAGATCAATTTGAATAGTGTATTCAGTACCAAGAAAATTAACGAACTACTTCATTAATTCCATTTGTTTCGACAACGAAGTTCGATTTTATTGATCTAAAATCCTTCTGTAAGCCAGAAAACAAACGATTATTAAATACACATTACAAAACGAATTCCTCAAGAGACAAAAACAAAATATCTCGCACGAAAAAATTTGCCTCACGCACAAAACGTGCTGCTGTGATCAATAATTGGAAAGAGAAAAGAAAAAGCTGTCGATGATGCCTAAGAACAACAAAGAAATCGCTCATATCTGCAGTGCCGAAAAACTTTTTTTCCCGATAATCCTTCGTAGCGAATGACATTCCCCTTCTGTCCTACGTCAGAGCGAGAGCCGCAAAAAGAAATCTTTAGAGATAGCCCACGTGCGCGCGCTTATACCCTTTTAAGGCGATACCACGTGCGCATCATCGGAGCAAGAGAAGAAAAATTGTGGCAGCTTGCTCGCACGTCAATATCCTGGCGTGCGAGCAAATGATGTCGCGCGTGCCGTTCTTATGGATTTTCGGCCACACGCGTACAAGCTAGCTAACTTCTTGTATATATACTTGTCGTTGAATAGGTGCTTGAAGACTGCCTGTGAACAATGCATGATGAGAATTGGATGATAATGTATATATTTACTAGAGAGAGAGAACAAAGTGTGCGTATACGAGGAAGAAGAAACAAACGTGGAATGCGTTAAAAATATATACGAAGTCAGCTGCGATGACGTAGACCAGAGCATTGTTTCTCATTCTACCTTTCTTGATGTTTAAATAACAAGTGCAATGCCAGCATTTCTTCTTTCTTGCTGTCCACTGATGTCATTCGTAAATATGTACACAGCTTTTTATTACGATCGTGAAGTTCTCTCTGGACTTTTCATTGTCGGTTGTATAAAATCAACATTTCATGGTTTTATTTTGAGTTGAAAAGGAAATTTTTATTTTATATTTCAAGTTTCAAGGTTGATAATGATCTTAGATAAAGCTTTGTCGTATAAGAGAAAAGTGGATAAAGCTATCTTAATTATCTAATGAAAAATTATTAATCTTGAAATTTCGTTAAAATCATGGAGTTATTTAATCAGCAAGAAAATTACGTTGTCGTAAAACTGTATTTGAGTAATGGAAATGAGATATTTACTAAAAACAGGAGCTATTTTATTTTGCGCAAATGCGCTTGCAAAACGATCCAAAATCACTCGAAATCGAAAACAGCTAAATTTGCGAACAAAGTAAAGGGATTTGCCTGAATGTGATATGAATGATATGTTCTAATTTATTCATGATACTGAATCTCCCAGAAGTATACGATCTAAGAAAAATAATTTAAAAGAAAAAGAAAAATTGTCTTAGCATTTTACTACGTAAGAAAAACTTGTTGAAAACTCTTCCAAACTCTTTAAACAGCTTTCGATCCTCGGTTCATTTATAAAAATAAATATATTCAATCATGCGGCCTACAGAAACAATTACAAGTATCTTAATTCAGTGACCTTAAAATTCGCGTATTTTAGATGCATTCGATCAATTTCGCGAATGGCTTTCACCTAATTAATACTAAACTTCCCTTCAACGGTCTAAACGCTCTTCCAAGAATCTACGTCGTGAAACACAAAGTTCGCAGTTCCTTACAATCAAAAGAAAAAAATTCATTCACCTATACGGTTTTATATTTCCTTCAATGAACGCAATTTAACCTAACCCTTAGATATCTCGCAGTGAATTACCCAGGCGTGTGCCTTTCTAGCGCAAAAGAAAAAGAAGAAAAACCCGGGGCGTAATCAAAAAGTGGGTCACGGCGGCATGAGTGTATATTCTCTGCGAGTGTCCGCGGCAGCGCGCGCGCGGCGGCTATCGATCGTTGCGCTCGCACCCACACAATCAAACATCCTCTCTCTCGGTACAACTTTGAACTTTTTCTTTTAAAAATCGTCGCACGAGATGTTCGATTTGAGGTTAGATGTACAATGCATTGCATTGTAAATGTTGTCAAAAATCTTCTGGATAATAAGTTTACTAGCGTTGCGTTTACAATACTCGATAGTTTATCATTATTCGCGAATGTACGTTATCCACATGGATATATACGCACACCAAGTTATAGTCCACGCGAGGGAGTTTTACGCAGGCGCACTGCTGGTGTAGTGACTACTGCTGCTACACTAGAGAGAGATAGAAAGAGAATTGAGAGAACGTTGGGAGAGCTTCGCTGTTGCTGCTGCTAGTCGTGCGGGCGTCGATCGCGCGAGGGCCAAAATAAAAAGTACGAAAACGCGCGTTCAGTTTCGCGTGTGGCATCGCAAGCGTCACACATACAGATACATAACATATACTGTATTGAGAAATCATTGTTGTTTATAGAAAAGGTTGAACACTGGGCGAGGGAAAGAGAGGAGAGGAGTGGCAGTGTGTTCAAGAAAAAACCGCAAGGCTCGGGCGCGCAAAAATGCGCTGAGAGAAAAAAAGGCGATCAACGGCCATTTTGCGCGGATTTACCCTCCGTCGTATCGCCTCGTATATCCTGGTTCAAGAATAATATCCTGCTGTTGTTTTGGCCTACAAGCTCAGTGTGTAAATAATAAGTGAGTGTGCGAGGAGCGCGCCTTTGAACACGACGAGAGAGAAGGCGGAACAGCAGCAACATGGCGGGCAATACGGGAATGGAGCAGCTGATTCCCATCGTTAATAAGCTCCAGGATGCCTTTACTCAACTTGGGGTTACGATGCAACTCGACTTGCCACAGATCGCCGTTGTCGGTGGTCAGAGTGCTGGCAAGTCGTCTGTCCTTGAGAACTTCGTCGGCAAGTAAGTGCTCGTTCTGTATGCCTCTTTCTCCCTCACAAGCAGCAGGTGTATAATGATTACTTACTTCGTTCACTAATGCGATCAATACTTGCTCATTCGGCAGGGTGAAAATTCGAGATTTATTTCTTTCTTCTTAACTATCTGAATTAAAATTGAAGATACGATATCACGTTTATAGAGTATATATTTATCATGCGGAAAATGTGTCAATGTTCAATGAGATATAGATTTGGGAGCATTTGAGAGGGTTTGGATGAATCACTTATGAATTGTTGCTGCAGCTAATTTTTTAGCTAGCAATGAATTTTTTCTAAAATTAGAGATATAAGTATTATTCTGAGAAACTTGATATTTTAAACTTTGTGATATGATAGTAACAGATGTGCATAATCACTAGAACTCGCAGTGAAAATTTGAACTCATGAGAGAACATTTAGGAAACATGATAGAAAAAGCATGCTGAATAGTTAACAAAGTAGTCAGATACCAAGTTCATAAATAAAATTACGTAATGTAAACAAGAGGGATGTGGGGGAAGATTCCACTTTTGCCAGAAATGCTTCTTCATATGATAGATCTGATCTTGGTGTTTTGTTGAGGGAAAAGCCCCATCACTTTTCTCAATAGAAGTCTTTGTAAACACATATATTGTATTAGTGCCTGTCAGTGGGTGATTCGTTCCCTTGACTTAACTTTGTTTTTAATTTTTTGTTTAATTGAAGAACTTTTGCTTTCTAATGCAAACTGATTGTCTTGTTAGATTCTTCCACTTTGATTTGTTATTACAAAAGTTGATATGATAAATATAATAAAAATTAATGAAAGTATAAAAATATGTTTTACATTAATAAACGAGGATAAAAATTTGAAGGTAGGTTGAATGGCAATAATTGATTATCATATCTTATCGCATAGATCTGTCACAAGTAACAGATATGTGATTCACACAAAGAATCCTCTTTGTGAGATCCATGATCTGATTATTTCATGACTCCAATTGCAATTTTTTATTTTTTGCAGTTAACCTGAATTCCACAAAATTAACCTATAAACTATAGTGTTTGGAACTATAGTTTCTGTGTCACTATTCAACTAACTCCTACCTATGGACTTATCTATTGAATAAACTCTTATACAAATATAAACAATGATCTCACGTACAAAAGTTTTGATGATTAAAGTGACCCAATTCTAAAATACATGATGAAAAATTGTCTTAACTGACAATACATTTCTTTTGCCAAACCTTGAGAGAGTTGTGCTTTCAATTTCTGAAACATTCATCAATAAGCTAGAAATAGTATCTGTCTAACGATTTCAAATCAACTGCCATTGTTCGTAATTGCATTTCAATCCATTCCGTTCCGCGATCGTGCGCTCATGGTATTTCTTTAATATTTCGAAAAAAAAGAAACACCGTAAAATTACAACAATGAAACAATTCACACACAACAACACGTTGTATCTCTCTTCCTCCCGTTCCACGATGATCTAAGATTTTAATGAGACATGTTTGATTCCCATTAGCAAGAAATTCTCATCGTCATTGAAGGAAATAAATCACCGCACCAAAGCTCTCTCATTACCTCTAGTGAATCGCCCCCCCCTCCCCCCTAAAAGTAAGAAATTGTTAAAAAAGATGTGTGGTCAATCGGACGAGCAATGATGCCACGCTTTGCTATTCGCAAGCGTGACACAAATGATCGGTTAACGGCACATAAACAGAGAGCTCCGATTAATTGTCTACATACCTGTTTTTGTTTTACAGGGATTTCCTGCCACGAGGCTCGGGTATCGTCACTAGGAGGCCGCTCATTCTACAGCTGATCAACGCGACTAGCGGTAATTATTCACTCGTGTGTTTGGATTTTCAAGGCGAGAAGGGATGCTTAACATTATTATTCTTAGCGATTTCGAATGACATCTTTCTTTTTATTCTGTGTAAGCTTGTTTCACGTGATTTCGAAGGTGAACGGCATGAGAATTGTTAAGCGTTTTCTCCGATGTCACATAATAAAATTTGAGTGTAGCCGCGGTATACACACCAAGAGTCAATAAATACAGCGATCTATCTAAATCAAACGAACGTTATTTATATTTGAGTTAGATCTTTTTGCCACGCGGGGGCGACGTCGACGAGTCATAACGGTGCGTGCCCTCATTAGCGTCAATTGAGAGGCCTTGCGTGAAATGAAAAATAAAAAAAATAGGGAGTTTAATGCGTAGGTTGTTGCTGTCCCGCACTCTTTCCTTCTTTCTCAATGATGTACCATCATCCAGGACGTTTAATGAGTGAATCAGCCTGCGCAGAAGGAAATGTAAAAAGATCGAATGAATTTTTTCGTTGTAACGAGTTCCATTGTAACGTTACCTTTTTTTTAAGAATTTGAAATGATGCGTTGTATTAGATGAACGACTGGTAACTGTTTTTTTTTTCTTTTTTTTTCAAGTGACATCAAAGTCAAGCGTGACGAGAACGGCTTCTCATTTAAAATACATCAATCAATTATGGGGTATTCTCAATCTTCATTTGTGATCTGTTCGAGCCTTTAATTTATTTTCACGAACCAATGTCCTATATATCTATATCACCTAAATGCGTATATTTCCGTTATTCGGTCGTCATGTTTAGCACTATATGCATATACGATTTGAAAATAACACACGAGCAAGTATGAGTGCTTTTATATTTATAATAAACGAGAAACTCGCATTTAAGTTTCTCTTCTGATAGTTTCAGGTTAACTCAACGTCGCAAGTATCGATTCGATAAACTGTTTCGTCCTATTAGTCGTTAAAATACTGCAATGATTGTGTAAATTGTTGTAGCACATTGAAATAACGCTCGATAGAAAAGAAAAAAGCTAACTTTTTCCTTTTTACAGCATTTTGTTAATTAATTAAAGGTGTGAAAAAAATCCTTAGAAATGTCAACACAACGTCCTGAACACTCAAAAAACTATTGACAATCGAGTGTCTTGATTTATATATTTCTTATCGTTGTCGGAAGAGATGACATGAGAGCGAATTTGCGAATTGAAGAGAGCGAGAAAGAAAGTAAGAGAGCTTTTAATCGGATTCAGCTGCCGCGCCGTCGCGGGTCAATAAATACGCTATACAGCATATACGACGACTATTCCCCACCCAACAATCGAACGTGCAATACTAAAACTTCGTCTTATACTTTGTTGACCCATGCGAAACCCTTGTCGAATTCGTCTTTCGTGTTTCGTATGTATTATTTGAGTTTTAACGTGTAAGTTAATTTTTGTATTTACTTCTGGTATGAATCTTCATCACTACGTTTCAATTCATCGTGCAAAACAAATAAACTCTCGCTCAATCACTCCGTACAGAATTTCAACGTCAATAGCGAAACTTCGCGAGGGTCGGTCGTCCGGAAGCACAACAAATATGCCACAGCAAATATTCAAAAGGCAGGGGGAAAGAGAGAAAAAGAGAGAGAGAGAGAGAAACTTTATAATAAATTCACTTCCAAAGAGCAAGTTAATATTAGTGGTGTCGTTCATGTTATATACGAAGGGTAAGATGATGAAGAAAAGAAAAGAAAATTTCTTAATGCTCTTGCCAATATAGCGTCGAAAGTATAAGTGCACGTATAACTATATGTACCCGTCACATCTATGGCGAGATCATTCGTAGAGAAGCTGTCAAATTCAAGCAACATGCGGATATTTTTTTTTTTTCATTTTCTCATTTTTCACATCTTTAGGCGCGACAAATGGGCGGGAAAATTGAAAAATTATCCCGTCACTTCTCTTGGTGATAAGCTTCGATGGACTCTCTTACGCGTTCGTATATAAATGGATGTTCATTTATTTGAGCAATGGTTATAAGTAAGTTCGAAATATAATAGAAAGGTTCTTTGTCTATGGGCTGTAATTACTGGCACTTTTGTTAAACGCAATAACCAATTGGCATTTTTATTGATTTTTTTTTTTTTTTCAAAAAAAGAACCTCGACACGAAAGTTGAAACAAATTTAACAAATTGAATTCCTATGCAACAATTTCAATGCCTCTCTCGATTAGTTCTCGTTAAAATAGCTATCTATCGAAAAAACAAAACGATAAACGTGCCAACGACGAAGAATCAGAGTCTTGGCAATCGTTAACGTCGTTCGCAGTCGATTGGAGCATAGAGAGCGTCATACATCGTGCGGGTTAACCCATTAACCCGCGCTCGATTAACGCGCACGTAGCGCCATTGATTCCATTAAGGGCAGTCTGCTACGTGACACCCGGAAATTGGCTTCACCATCGCGGGGAAGACTGATCCAGAATAAAAATACACATTTTAAAATTTAATGTACGCTCCGAAAATTGATTTTCATCTCATAATGCGATTCCGATCGTCGGCAGATGATGTCATAGCGACAGACGGTTATGTTTTTCTTCGGTGCTGTAATTGCCGTAAACGTTCTTTTTGGCACGTGCACATACATTGACGTGAGCGCAGTTGAAAAATCGTTTGCAGTCTTTGCCGTACATAAAGCTCATATTTATTTCAGATGAAGCGCTTGTGGGGAAAGACTCTTATACGCTTGCTTAAAACGCGAGATTTAAAGTGAGCGCAGAGTCTGCGGGCGAACCGCATCACGAGCTTTCATATCTCTTTCGCTGATAAATTTTGTACGACTTTCTATGCACAAATGCGCGAATATCGTTTTGTAGTGTATGTTATAATAACAACGTTTACGCGCACTTGTAACGCTATATTTGTTGAATGAACGCTCTTTATTGATCCCATTCAAAGCTCTCTTCCTGTTTATCATATGCAATTGGAAAAATAATCCGTTTGATTGATTAAGAAAGCGTGTACAAACTTATCATTATCGCTAGTATAGTTCTACAAACTTACTTACATTGTTGTCGCTGTTGTACATCGACGCGTTTCACTTCATAACGTCACTTATTACATATCGTCAAGAATGACTATTTCAATTTTTATTTGTTTCAAAAAGAAAAATAAGCCTTCCTTCGTTTTTGCAATTATCCCGTCGAAAAGCCGCTCACTGGATATTCTAGTATCGCAATATTTGTTTCCGTGTACGATGAATGAACAAGCGGTAGTCGTCGTGGCAGCTGCATATTTATAAACGGTGCGCTAAGCTACGCGCGAAAGCTTTATCGATTAACTCGCGCGTATACTGGCTCGCCACACTACTCCACTTCGCGGCCATCGTCTTCCGAAAAAAAGAAAACAGATAAAGCAGTACCCAGGGAAATAATGGCTTTTGTGAAGTTCACGGTAACGTGAAAAAAAAAACGACTTTCTTCGACGGGGAAAGAACGATCGATGAGTTATTATATCGCGGTACCTTTTTTATTTAATTGATTAATAGCGGATTGGTTGTTTTGCAGTCTTTGATGATACAGTTAAAAATGAATTTGAAAGATGATTTTATTTATGCAATGAAGTAATTATTGATGGTTTTCGAAGCTTCTTCGAGAAAGAAAGGCATTAAAGCAATAAAATCTCAGCGCGTTTTGTTTATTCACGAAAGAAATATGCGCGTTGCGTCTGATTTGATAATATAGTATGTGCGGGAATAACGCATTTTCACGCTATGCAATGTTGATGCAGAAAAAAAAATTCTCTCTCCTATAAGTGACGCAGGGATTTGAAAAATCTCGCGCATGTCAGTGCGGCACTCCAAATGACGCGTAAAAAATTCAATATCGCTACGGTACACGCGTCCGACTTTCTCTCATGAAAACCATACGATACATACATACGTAGTTGCAACAGGAACATATTGATAATTCTCCATCGTACGCGTGACGATAAGGATTCAAAGCGATATACATAGACGCATTTGATCGTCGCATCTCTGTCGCGACATCCGGGTGAGTCGAGTTTGTTATCGGGCAGCTTCCTCTCTTTCTCTCTCTCTCTCTCTCTGTCTCTTTGCTAGCGCGTAAAACGATAAGTAGGAAATTGAGTTCATTGCCATCTATATACAACGAAAGCGCATCCGCGACTGCGTACTCATCAGAACTTTCGTTCTGCACGCTTGTTTTCACTGTTTTTTTTTTCTTTGATGGATTTCATTTTATTGTTCACAGAACATGCCGAATTCTTACACTGCAAAGGCAAGAAGTTCGTTGACTTCGACGAGGTGCGAAGAGAGATCGAAGGTGAAACAGACCGCGTGACCGGCAGCAACAAAGGCATCTCCAATGTGCCCATCAACCTAAGAGTTTATTCTCCCAACGGTGAGATTTTGTTCAAGCTTCTTGTTGTGTTTTTTGTCACTGGTGGCAATGCTATTCTCGTTATATACCTAGCGGGAAAATACTTCCGCTGGAAGTACTTGCAGCGAGGTGTAAACTAGCGGGAAGATGAGAGATTTTTTATTGTCAGCGCGCAAAAAACTGCTGCTGCATGGCGAAAGACTTCTTCTTTTGTTTTATCTGATGGCAAAAAGTCATATGAGAATTTATCAGAAACAAAAAATAGAATATTTCTTTTGCTACTGTTTTGTAGAGAAAGTTTTACGACAAAAAAACTAGATCTCATAAATTATATTTTCGCAAAATAGTTCATTACTTTTAACATGCCAAATGAAATTCAAATTGTACTTTGTATTTCAGTGCTGAATTTGACTCTGATCGATCTGCCGGGTCTGACGAAGGTGCCGATCGGTGATCAACCGGCAGATATCGAGCAACAAATCAAAGGGATGATCTTTCAGTTTATCAAACGTGATAACTGTTTGATTCTAGCTGTGACGCCTGCTAATACTGATTTAGCTAATAGCGATGCTCTCAAACTTGCCAAGGAGGTCGATCCCCAAGGTATAATTAAATACCATACATTTGTAATTTTATTTTTATAATTTTAAATAATAATTAAGGAATTTCGTTCGTTGTTTATTGTGTAGGTGTACGTACTATTGGTGTCATCACTAAGCTGGATCTTATGGATGACGGCACAGACGCGAGAGATATTTTGGAAAATAAATTATTACCCCTGCGAAGAGGTTACATAGGTGTAATTAATAGGAGTCAAAAAGATATAGACGGTAGAAAAGACATCAAAGCAGCCCTGGCAGCTGAACGTAAATTCTTCTTGAGGTAAAGGTTCACCAATTTGAAAATCAACATAAAGTTACATTTAGGCTAATCACTGACAAATATGTTTTTCTCCATAGCCATCCTTCATATCGACACCTTGCAGATAGGTCAGGCACGCCTTACTTGCAACGCGTACTCAACCAACAGCTGACAAACCACATTCGAGATACGTTACCTGCTCTCCGTGACAGACTGCAAAAGCAACAACTTGCTTTAGAAAAGGACGTCGAACAGTACAAACATTTTAGGCCTGACGATCCTGCTATTAAGACAAAAGCCATGTTGCAGTAAGTTTATGAATTTTAATCTCTTGATAGTGTATAACTGTATTTAGTTAGAACGAGCTTTAATTGTACTTGATATTCACTTTATATACGTTGGCTAATTTAGTAATTTCTTTTAGGTCAAATTATGAATTATTTCATTTTTCATTTAATTGTCTCTAATTTCCTTTATTCAAACAACTTTTGTTTCATACATGAGTAAAGGGTCCTGAAATTTTAGTTCCTTTTTCTTGTTTTTGCAGATCAATTACAGAATTTCTGTAGGTAACTTGCTTTTCCTTATTTTGGGGTGCCCTCTAACTAAGTTGTGTGCTCATTTTGCATGACATTTATTAATCCTTATAATTTTGATTTTAATTTTAGATGAAGCTATGCATGTTGTATTCAATATTTTCGGAATAGCAAAAATAATGGACGCGTCCATCTTGAGATATTGATGCACGTATTCGTTCTGTCTGCTAACCTGAAAACATTGTGTAATAATTACTTAGTTGGCACACTTTAGAGGAATATATTGCAATTGGTATATTCTAGATTTAGTACTATTATATCTAGATTTAATTGTTATAATTATAATATTATTACTACAAAAGAAACAATAGTGCTTCGTTGAGTAGATTTAGCTTTACATGCAATAATGTGAAGATCAAATTTGTGGTGAATTTGAATACGCAACTACCCTAATAAGGAGAAGCCACTTCAAAGAATTATTTAAAATGTTAAAATATTTAATAATATTTCCAAATGATGAGTAACAATTTTTAAGAACAATTAATAATCTCATGGCTCTCTACCCATTCTGCTTAATGCCAAAACAAGATATTCTCTTCACTCGATTAAAAGTAAGGCGTTTTTAAGGATGATCCAGCAACTGCAATCGGATTTTGAGAGGACCATCGAGGGATCGGGATCTGCTCAGATCAACACTATGGAATTGAGCGGTGGTGCCAAGATCAACCGATTGTTCCATGAAAGGTTTCCCTTCGAAATTGTCAAGATGGAATTTGATGAGAAAGAACTGCGAAGAGAAATTGCTTTCGCCATTCGAAACATTCACGGTTAGTATCTTGACTGGCATAGTTTATTAATAAACGATACCAACGTTTTTAATTATCTTCTCTAATTGCAGGTATTCGAGTCGGTCTCTTCACTCCGGACATGGCTTTCGAGGCTATCGTCAAAAAACAAATCAACAGGCTCAAGGAGCCTAGTCTTAAATGTGTGGACCTAGTCGTACAAGAACTTAGCAATGTTGTTCGCATTTGTACAGATAGGGTAATTAACGCTTTATCATTTAAGTACTAACTGAAAATTGTCGGTTGTTCTTTTGCAAATCTGAATATTTTTTTTTCTCTTTTTTCTTCGTGCTTCAGATGTCGCGATATCCCAGATTACGTGAGGAAACAGAGCGCATTATCACAACTCATATCAGGCAACGAGAACAATTGTGCAAAGAGCAACTCATTCTTTTAGTCGACTGTGAGCTTGCATATATGAACACTAATCACGAAGATTTTATCGGGTTCGCCAAGTAAGTGACTTATTTATTTCTTACATCTAAATTTATTGACGGCAAATAACGATTTTTTTTAAATTTCATTTGTGAACAAAAATAACTTATATAGTAGCCATGCACATATGAGTATCTCTATTCTTGTAATTATGTTTCGCAAAGCGTCATCTCCACACTTAACTTGTCTTGCATATATATGACGATAGAATCACATGATTATTCATTTTTGTTTATGATATTATACGAGGCAAAAAATTATTACTCTAGAAGAAGAATTTGGTTTTGCTAAAAACTATTATTACGAAAAAAATCTGATTTCTTTTGTTTCTTTTTTATTACTTGCACATGTTAGAATAGCACATTCAGCTTCGAACCAAGAATCGTTCGATGATGTGCTGCACTTCACACAAAAATCCTTGCACTTTTTATATTACTTTCTTTTTGACTAAATTATGCATGCCTTGCCAAGGCCATTTGCTTGACTAATTTAGACCTTTCCTTTATCTTTTTTTGATAACAGCACTATTAGTTTGCACATCTTTAGTAATAACTTGCCTCTTATTAGCAAGAGATCCACCTATTTGTTCGATGAAATACATGTTCATTTTCAACGTAGCATTTTCATTATGCTATTATTGAATAATTTGTTGACTTATGGTATAAACTGTACAGCATCAATGCTACAGAAATAAATTTATGAAAATTATTTCAAAAATATTATTTATGTAATTGGCTTTATGTAGTGAATATTTAAAAGAAAAATTATACCATCTAGTCAAATACATAAATGTCAAAATGTCATTTTATATATTTAAATCGTTAGAATTTTCCTTTGAAAGACAAAAAATATTTGGACGAAAGTTCCAAAAATAATTGTCCCGTATACAATTACAAGTTTATAATGATTTCTTTAAATAAATTTAATAAGATTTTATATAAAGTTCAGAAAGAAAACATAATTGCACTGTAAGTTCAAAATTGATATTTTTTGAAAATATAATGCACTGAATACGTGAAGAAGAATCAGAAAAAATTTATATTTGTAAACGATAACAATTTTCTCTTTCTGAAGACTTTTCAAATGATGATGATGATCATGCTCAAAATCTTATAACATTTCATCGTGTTTTCACTAACCATTATCTCACTTTATCATATCAATCTTTCTATTTTCATTGTCCATGTTGTACTTCACAAATAAAAACAATGATTTAATTACACCGGCAGCGCGGCAGCCAGAAGCCATAATGCAAGGTAAGAAAGCCGTTCAAACATGCATCAAAGTCGAATATTTTTCATTACGACTTTTGTTTTTTTTTCTTCCTCCCTTATTTTCTTGTCTATCGCATACAAATTATACCTTTCATACTGTATGATACACTTTTTCTGATTTCTTCACATTAAACGATATAGATTATCCTGTGTTGGAAATTTATTTTGTATTTTTTGAAATTTGATATGAAGTTGCACAACTTTATATTCAAAAAACTTATTGTACATATAATATATCAAAATCATATATTTATTTTAGGTTATTGATTGATATATTAAATAAAATATTGATATATAACAACGTTTTTATTCGGTTTATAATTTGGAAAACAATTTTTTTCTTTATAACTACATACTAATTACAGTATTATATTATAACTAGCTTTCTAATATTTTGTACTAATCCTGCATGTGATTTTTTTATGTGAATATAATTTTAAAGAATATTACACCAGCTTTTGAATTAATCTTGAAACTTATAAAATCATATTGGAAAAAATACATTTAAGTTGAAATTTCTAAAACTCAATTTAATTCAAATAAGAAACTTCATTATAAAAAATACATTGATTAAACGAAAATGTTTATTTTTAACTCATTCCATTTTCTTCATTCAAGTAATCTCGTCAACAGTTAATAGAGAGTCAAATATACAATTGAAACAGTTCAATTTTAATATAAAAAAAGTACAGATTTCCTAAAATCTATTGTTGTAAAGATGGGCAAATATATAATTTTTTTGGCTATTGTACAGCTTTTGGCTAAATATAATATATAAAATTGAAAGCATGGCTACATGTAGGCGCATGACATCTTTTTAAACTGTTTACACATGCCGCTTTTTATCAAAATCTAATTTTATTATTTTTTTCCGTATACAAACTGTAATAAATACAAAATTCGAGTGAAAATTGAAATTTATTATTTTTCTTTGTAAGAAAAACTAAATTACAACAATCATTTTGTCTCATGCTTCGATATTTTCTTTATCGGTATTGTGTTTCAAAATTAACGATTCTTTGATGATAAACATATCGATGTTATAAAAAAAATAAAATTAAATTAATGAGCGAGCGTGATGGCAAAAACATAATATATCCATATACTTATTGTATTGTTATATTTTGTTTTATAATCGCTAATGCGCCGTTTTCATTTCACAAAATCTAACTGAAAAATCTGTTTCGACAGTGCGCGCACAAGTCTTCTATATTACTCTTCATATTGCTATTGCTTTTCTTTATCTTGAAAGAGAAATTATACACGAAAATCAATCGAGCTGCGCACATTTTCATAAAGTAACCTATTTTTTGTTGCAGTGCCCAACAGTCGTCGGAGAATGCGGTGAAATCGGGACGTAGTACTCTTGGTAATCAGGTCATTCGCAAAGGTTACATGTGCATACACAATCTTGGTATAATGAAGGGTGGTTCGAGGGATTACTGGTTCGTGCTCACCTCCGAAAGCATCTCGTGGTTCAAAGACGAGGAGGTGATTATTTTTCATTAATTACGATAACAATTAATTTCTATATTTAACTTTGTAAACTTGTAATAAAAATTTTTTCTTTTTCATCTTCACTTTGTTCTATGAAATATACTTAACGATACCTTATTCAATAAAAATCAAAACAATCATATTTCCAATTGTAAAGACATTTATTTTTCCAGGAAAGAGAAAAGAAATACATGTTGCCATTGGACGGTCTAAAACTACGTGACCTTGAGCAGGGCTTTATGTCGCGTCGCCACCTGTTTGCCTTGTTCAACCCTGATGGGCGAAACGTTTACAAGGACTACAAGCAGCTCGAGTTAAGTTGTGAAACTCAAGACGACGTTGACTCGTGGAAGGCATCATTTCTTCGTGCTGGTGTCTACCCTGAAAAATCGACCGAACAGGCTAACGGTGACGGTGAAGTAAGTTATATTTAAATTTTCAAAATTTGATTCGTGATATTTACGGGGCCTTGAATTTCTCGGTCAAAAGCGCCACTTATTTTTATTCATTTTTGAGAAACTAAAGTCAATTAATTAACGAGTATTTTTTCTCTAGATCATTTACTTTCTTATTTATTCTAGGATCTACTGGCGCAATTAAAAGTAATTAAGTACACATTTTATTTGGGAGGTTTTGTAATCGAGTGTTATGGTTTGCCTAACAAAGCAAAGACTGAAATTTGAAATTCCAATTAAAAATCACTTGTGTTTTAATTGAAATTCATTACTTAGTAACGGTTTTTTTTTATAATATAACACATCACCTGATAGTCCGAGAGCAAATGATAGTGATCATGATTGAACACCCGACTGGATTTGAGATATTTTAGAAAACTTGATGTGCTGATCATAAAAATCGCTTTTATCCGACTGAACTTAGTGCGCTTTCTAAGCGCAAGAAGCTTGAGCAGAAAGAACGCGAACTTTATGTTTACGTAAACAATTTTCTAAAGTATTGCAAATTCAGTCGTGTGTTTGATTGTGACCACTTCTTCTCGTTAGCTCTCGTACTATAACAATAGTGTAACAGCATTTTAATAATTCTCTAATTATCTTTTCCTGAACCAGTCACAGGAAGGATATGAGGTTCGTACAGTTAGGTAGTTTTGAAGAGTATTTCAAGACTTACACACACGCTATACCTACAGTCTCAGCACCTCAATCTTCCTAATGTAAATGCACTTTGCACAATTTATACAGCTCTTAACACTTTACAAAAACAACCCTAAAAAAGATTTTAAATTTGTACTGTTATTCGTCTACCTATGGTTTACTGCTAAATAGTGCAGTTTATTCATTATTGCTAGTACTTGCTGAGTGAATCTTTGTTGCTAGACTTTTTAATTGTTAAAAATTTAGATTTGTTCGAAAAATCATAAAATGATTTGCATAGTTTTTTATTCGAGAAAGATAGGTATTGCGCATGAATTGCAACTGAGTGATTACTATTGATATTCTTCTGAAAGTGTGAATATGTTTATTAGAAAAAAAAACACTGCTTAATTTTTTACAAAATTTTTAAATATTGTATTTATTATCATTCATCTTTGTTACACTATTGAAAAATTATTTTAACATTGGTATCGTTATCAAATTATCATAGCTGATGAACATTACAAATGAATTCACAATGCTGCTTATTAATGATACATAAAGTGGAAATTTGCTTACTATTATCCATAGCGTACAAAACTGAACTATCATTATCTTACAGCATTTATTGGCTAGAATGATTGCTTTTGTAAAATAGAAATATACTTATAATAAAACACATTTTTACAAACAACTTTAGAAATGATTCATTAAGAAATCTTTGTGATCAAATGTATTTTGTTGCTTCACTATGTCAACATTAACTATTCTTTGAACATTGCTAACGAAATATAAATTTTCTACTTCAGAGCGGCTTTTATAATTTGACAACGGGCCACAAGGTATCGCACTGTTCATATTTCGCCAATATTATTTTAATTGGCTTAAATACTATTTCATCATTCATAAAGTAGCATGAAAGCATCACGTTTGACATTGTTTCAAATTCATTCAGTCAAAAATCAAACATGGTTCAAATTTCATCCATAAATTATACGCATCTCAATATTGTTATTAGAAATTCAATGCTTATATTCTAATTTTTATCTAAAATATTAAATGTTCCAATTATATGTTCACTTTTATAAATATGAAGTATGTATATGAGAAATATAAATTATGTTTTTGGAATTGTAAGCACTGAATCCTATGAATCTGTGAATAGTCATAAAGTTTTTCAGTATTAATAATCAATAATCAAAATTTAGTTTGACTTTTTGTATTCTTTAATTTTTTTTATTAAAATATGCCTCATGAAAGAACTTGAACTAAAAATTTCTCACCGTATTGTCAGGGAGGCGGTGAGCAGCAATCGTCTATGGATCCTCAGTTAGAGCGACAAGTAGAAACAATCAGAAACTTGGTAGATTCTTACATGAAGATCGTCACAAAAACTACTCGCGATCTCGTTCCAAAAACAATCATGCATCTAATTATAAACAATGCCAAAGATTTCATTAACGGAGAACTTTTGGCTCATCTTTATGCAAGTGGAGATCAGGTAATTAACATTATCCATTAATCTTGCATTCGTTATAAAAAATATATTATTTGTTAATATTCTGTATAGGCGTCAATGATGGAAGAATCTCCAGAAGAAGCGCAAAAGCGAGAGGAAATGTTGCGCATGTATCATGCTTGTAAAGAAGCTCTCCGAATTATTGGTGATGTGTCGATGGCCACAGTTTCAACACCGGTACCACCGCCTGTCAAAAACGACTGGCTGCCAACGGGCGACAACCCAAGGTAAAGTATTTGTTTATCCAATCCTAGGATATTATGTTTGTTTCTTACTTTTCAACAATTCACCATTTGCAACTTTCTTACTCTTTGCTTTACTCTGCACCAATGGCACAGTATTGGGTAAGACTTATTTTGCATTTTTGATCACGCAATGCAAAGTCCACGATCCAACAAATTTTAAATTTTGCACGTCGATTATTGTATCTAATGATTTGATACACTTATTTCTTTCAATTTTCACGCACATTTTTTCCTCAAAATATGGAATCGATGTTGTTTTGATAATTGTAAATACTTTGTATACGTGATTAAATTTAAATTAACTCTAATAAAAGTGCTTTTAAAATTGATTGTTAAAAGGCACACTCATATTTTTAATATCGATTTAAATTAATACAATTTTGATAAATAGACGACCTGAAAATAAAATGTAACGTTAAAATAATTTGTGTGTCTTTCAAAAATTCAATAGCCTTAGTTTTTTTTATTAATTGAGCGTTTGAGGACTATACAGCCTCAAACATGTAAATTCCACAATAAACTTTTTCCACCAACAGATTATCACCACCATCACCTGGCGGACCTGGTAGCCGTCCAAGGAATCAAGCGCCACCATCAGCAGGAGGTGGACAACGTGCTCCACCACCAGTACCAAGTGGTGGCAGACCAGCACCTGCTATTCCCAACAGACCTGGACCTGGAGCTCCACCACCAGGACGAGGCCAACCAGGCGGCGGCCTTCCTCCTCCACTAATACCTTCGTAAGTTTATTTTGTTCTTTACTTGTTTTATAGTAACCATTTTTATCAATATTCTGTCTTTCGAGAGCCGAGTGATAAGTTTCGATGACGTGGTATATTTGAATTTTTTGAAATTTATCAATTGGAGATTCATTCTCTTCTAAAAATTATTTAAGAAAGGTAGCCTTTTTTTAGTAAATTTTCGAAGCATTAATTTATTTTGAGGAGCTCAAATTTGATCACGAATTAAAATCTATTTACAAAATTAAAGATTAAATTTAGCTTGATTATTTACTTAATATTTGTTACCTGATGTTCAAGTCTAAAATTAATTTTGTTTACTGCTAGTGTTCAACTTTCTTAATTGTAGTCTTTTCATTATTATGTGGAGTTCCTTGAATAATTAACGCTTTGGTGCTAACTTTATTTTTTATTGCAGGCGCCGACAATAAGTCTACGCACTAACACACCTAATTGCTACTAATCCGTATATCTGTTGCATCTAGCAGATAACAAAAAAAAAATCAATTGACACATAAAAAACAAACAAACTTAATTTCCCGCAAATGGTGTTCTCTGTCCACATACGACATAAAATAGCAAAAATCATAAAATCATTGTTAACTGGGGGCGTGCATCTCTGTAACGATTATTGACACATATTGGAAATTTCATTACTATGTTACACTTAACGCCCTACGTTCCCGCGGTCCAAAGAGTTTATTTTATAAATATAAACTAAAGATAGTGTAAGATTGATTTCTTTAATAAAATTTGAAATAGTCTCGAGTGGTTCAAAATTTGGTTAAAAATTAATTTACATAATTATTTATTTGTTAGTTAATGTAGCAATTTTAATAGAATCGTTTAACTTTTAAACGTTTAACGTTTAAAAAGTCTAAATCATTCAGAGAATCGCACAACCCCTTCTGCATAATTTTCATGGCATCGTTCTCTACTAGAAATACGATAAAATACAATTATTATCACATCAAACATTTAAATTTCATGATTTTTCCGAGTCAAATCGACTGATGCAATATATTTACTTGTTAAAAGATAAAGAAAAACGAGTAAAAAAAGAAATTATTTATTTCGAACTTTAAATTAAGGGAAACGTTGTCATAATTAGGACCATAAACATGTACCTCGGACCTGTATATGACACCATGTACATAAATGAAAATATGAAGTAGTAGATTGTTTTGATCCATTGCGAATTAAGCTTTTAGTTTTCTGACAGCATGACATTTCATTGAGTGTTGTATTAAGGGTCATGAAAAAAAGTTTTTCCATTTTAAATGTGTAAAATGCGGGATGTTTCGAATGATAATTGTAAACGTTTATAAGCAGTATTTTTTTATTCTTTGCAACATGAAATGGTGGTGGTTGAGCGTGTTGTGCATTATTCTTAGCAGTACAATATTTAACATCGAAAAATGTTTAAGTAGGTCATCTTGCTATTTATAACATCCATCCTCTCCCTTTCGGTTCCCTATCCTTTTTTGTGTTAGTCCATTTGTGTAATCATATTGATTCACAAAATCCGAATTAATTGATCGAAAAACGGGTCAACTGCATAATCCATGAGGAAAAGACGTGTCGGTGCCTGCATATTTTTATTAAAAGAGGATGTGAGAAAAGACAACGTAATCCGATGGATGGTTAGAAATACATTATAACTGAAAAGTGTATTTACAACTTGCAAAACTATACCATCAGATTAGTTTGTGCTTTGTTATAAACTACTCAGATTCTATATATTGCGCGAATGATAATATTTATTTTTGACTATTACAAAGTAAATATAATATTTATTTTAGCATATATATACAAAGCATTTATAAAACAAGAACAAATCATGGTGGACTTGTGAAAAAATTACACAATTTGTTATAATAACGAATGCCGATAAACCAAATTCTCAAAGCACATTAAAAAATCTGTGGAAATTGACACGATTAATAATTCGCATGGCAATATTTTATTTTTCACTAAGTCTACTTCAGGATTCCTATTAATATTAATTACAAAGCACGGTATTGCGAACTTAAGCAATCTATAAAATTAAACTACTACAATTTTTACTGTACTAAGTAGAAATCTGATGTGATGGTTGTGAACACAATAAAAACTGTATTGTTCAAGCGATCAATACTTGTGCTCCAAATTCTCAAGCAAATGCAAATCGTGTTATCGTCCACATTGCTTTGATTAACTTTCAATTGAAAGAAAAGCAGAAGAAAGGACACAAATCCTGAAATAATAATCTAATGCAACAAAAGACGACAAAGCAAAGAGTGAATCCAGAACTGATAGTCACGAAATACGTGCATACGTGTGTTTAGTCGCGGGGGCGGCGGCATGGGTGGTCTTCAGCAAAGGGTCACGCAAGCAGCAACGCAGGCCGCTGCCAATGCTGCAGTGAACGAGCTAATGGACGCTTTCAAGATGAAGTTGTAACGCTCTCAATTCTATACTATTAACTGCTATACTTATCATTTTGATTATTTTTTTCTTGCTCCTTTCGTTCTCTTTATCCTTCAACTGTCACACACTATGGACACTTATATTTAACATCTTGGTGGTTAGTTACAAACCCAAAATGTAGAGTGGTAGGCTGAACAAGCTTTTGATTATATCTAAACAAACTAATTGTTATAACTATAAAGGTAATTCATTGTAAACTTGTTAAGGGCATTTAAGAGAAGTCATTTGTTATCGTTTGAAATATAATCAATTCAAATTACGTTGTTCGATTTGAAAAATTAAATTTTTCGATCCTGTCATTACTTGGGACAATTTTTTGTGATTTGATAAGAAATCGACTTCTCCGCTTTTATCGAATTAAATGCCCAAGATTTTTTCTCTCCTTGAATTTATTGTTAAAAAATAAGTAGTCCAGGATTAGTCGATAAATTGCTTATTTGGACCATGTATAGTTGAAGGTGTTGTGAGATTAATATTTCATAATTATAACACATGAAAGATAAGTTTATGCCAGAAAAATTAAGGCCTTCCGAAACTTAGAAAGAGTATCAAACTTTCTAAAGTTTTGCAAAAGACTGATTTTTCTTAGCAGGATTTATCCAACGTTGATGCATTTATTTTAATGCCAATGAATTATGCCTCTTTTTCTCTGCATGACACTTGCCATAAATAATAAATATCAAGTCACGAAATTTCTAAATTTCATTTTTCTTATTAGTAATCTCCGTAATTTTATTTTAACTTCGTTACTCTTTTTTTTTTAATTGTGTTGTATATACTTTATTATTTATATACTTTATTTTATATGATTATGTTAAAAGGAAAGAGTATTTCTTGTAGAAAATGTTTTGATGAAAAGTCAATTATCAGGTTTTTAAATAAACATAAAACGAATATTTATACATTTTGTGACTCGTAATTGTAATTGATGTAGTTTTTGAAAAGTATATATTTTAAGTATACTCAGGTAACGATACTGTATTGTGATTTGACATAATCTAAGCTTTATTATAAATTTTCAATTGAAGCATCAAACATATCAATCACTGCATAAACAATTCGAGTTCGAAATAAAAATAAATACTTAACTCATTGTATTAAAAAAGCAATTTAATTGTTATATCACAAAACAGCAAAGTTACTTGGTAACAAGTCCGCATTTGCACATGAAATTTAGACATGAATAAAAATAACAAGTTGTCAACTTTGAATCTGAAGGGCCTAAATGCATCACAAGCGCCCAGCAAAGGAAATTCGTTAAAAAAAACGGGAAAAAACAGATTTTCGAATTGAGCCGAAAAACGGAGACCAAAGCCATATTCATCCTATTGTAAGCTTTGGTGGTGGGTTCTTAAAGCTCACAGTGTATATCTGTATCCTGATCTACGTACACATAATAACTGTATTATATAATAGCCGAAAGAGTTCTAAAACAGAGATTATAAGTGAAAAGGATCGCGGGTCGATTTAAACGTAGAGGAGGCCGGGAGAGATGACAAAAATATATACTATATGATAATGCTTGCCTTGTAAGATTACTCATCTTTATCCTCTTGTCGCATATACATTTTATCAATCGATGTGCCGTATATGTGCAATATCACAAAAAGACAAAACAATGAAACTACAAATATACATACATTGAAATATATAACAAATTATATATTATATATGCCATGCTGTCTCTCTCCTGCAGTCTGTGTGTGCGCGTGAATAAGGCATTCCGTATATTAATAAAGTAGAGGGTATTGGCATATTTTTAGTATGCTCACTTGGGCAGAGAAAAATATTCCTGCTACGTTAAATTTGTGACAGACACGCAAATATATACATATATATTTTTATAACATAATTTCTTATAATTTTTAATTTTCATTTTATTATTACATTAAGAAAGAGTAAATTTTATTTCGTTGAACTAGATTCAATACGATCATTTCGAACAGTTTGTAAGATGTTTTTCTCTGTACATCAGCACTGCATCGAGTATATTAAATTTCTCCTATATTTCAAGCCAACCATAAGATTCGCAATCTCAGAACATAAAGAAAGAGAGCTCGTTGCAGTCCGTGCGTCAAAAAGTGCATTTACAATAGGTAATTCAGGTTTTAATGAAATAAAACAATATATAAAGCGAGTGTGAGGTTTAACTAAAGAGAGATCAAGGAAATGTCATGCTGTTGTGGAAAGTCATGTGCTCTGTAAATGATTTTTGCCCGTTGGAAATGGCAAGCTTTTATGCGCTCGCACAAAAGAATGACAAAATAAGAAAGAATCTTCATCTTTGATATATGTGTTATAATATATATATATATATATATATATATACACACACACACACACACACAATAAACGAGCGCTGTAAAAGAGATTGCCAGAACTGTCAAGTGTCGTATATATACCAATTTACGATAATTACTGTCATTCTACCCTGAAAAAACCTCCATCATCTGATAAAAAATCCTAGTATATTAAATAAAAAAATTATATTGAATGATAAAAAATAAAACCCCATTTCGATGCTATATATATATATTATACATACAAATAAAAATAAATAATAACGATAATGATTGATTACTGTTAAATCGTTATAACGACATAATTCTTTGCGTTTTTAAAAACAAAAGAGAAAAACCCTTATATTAAAAAAAAGAACTATAGCTATATTGCAAAAATAATTAAACAAAAATACATTGAATAAAAATAAAAAAAATCTGCTCAGACATAGGATGTGATATAGCGTAGGGTTAAAAAAATTATGTCACTGAGTTGACATGCGAGAAGTTAATTGAACGAGTAGTCTTTATGTCAAATTTAGATTGTAGTTATTATTGCCGCAAAAAATGAAGTAATATACAAGATAGGTATAAGTACAAGCAGATACCTTATTTTCGCGTAGTCAAGTTTTCAATGCCGTAGATATATTATTATTTATACTTTTTTGGTATCTACCGCGTTATCATCATCGTTCGAATTTGCAATTCAAATCATATTCTTTAATATAAGTATTGGTTTTTTAATTTTATTTGTAGTACAGTTATGTTTTTGTGTTCGTCAAAACAGAAAATGAATAAAGACGTTTTTGTATCGAAGTATAACTTTTGAAAATAAGTAAATAAATGGCGTGTGAAGAAAACATAAAGTTATTGAAAAAAATTGCACCATGTTATAGCTTCTGTCAAAGCACTTATCACGAAAACAAATCCAAAAAGATAACGTTGCTATGTAGCAGTTGAAAAAATTATTGAGTGAGATTGAGAACCAGTGGCACGAAAAATTACTTGAATGAATAATGTTATTGAAAACAAAATCGAAAAGAGATTACAAAAAATGAAGGTGCAAATTTTTGGAGAAGATGGACATAACGTTACGATATGAAATTGAAGTGAAACGTTAATATTAAATGCTTCCATCTAAAAAAAGCCTTATTATAAGAGAAACCTAGTTATGATGCTTTACATTTATTGTATAACACACGTTGACTAAATGTAATCGGCCGTACCAAGTTGAATGTTCGCGATAATTTTAAGCTCGTCAAAAAAAAAAAAAAGACAAGTGAAGGAGAAAATTTTTCGGGAAGAGACGCGATCATCAATACACAGTCAGTTCACGCCTCTTTACTCACTCTCACAATTTTAATTAACTTAATGCCGTCGAAGTAACTCTGTTCATTAATCGTAGTTAAGTCTCATTTGTTCCGCTTAATTTACTAAACGTTGAACTAATTTTTTAATACTTTCATAAATTAAGGGCAAAAGAATTTTTTTTATCTTGTATTGATACAATGGACGAATATTGTTTTCTGAAAAGTACATTTGTCAATTTTCTAAAAAAATTAGTTGACTATTTTTACGAGGATAATAATTTTAGCAATAATTTTTATCGTTATAATATCGAATGAAAGGTCGAATTACTTTTTTAATACTTATTTTAGAATAGACATTGCGTAAATATTCATATACTGTTTGTGTATTAAATATTTTGTATAAAACCTGGTTGTTTTTTTAGAAATTACTCAGGGTTACTTCAAGTGAACAAAATAAATAATCATTTCAGAAAAAAAGAAATCGAAATTCCAATTTATGAGCAAGACAGCGACTTTCACGTTGTGAACATAATATAACGATGAATACGTGAGAGAGATATACATGACACACCTACACATGCAGACACTTTATTGCAATATAAATGTGTATATAGGAAGTAACATGTTATCATAGAATATATGAATGAATAAGATTAACGATAAAACTGAATGTCAGATCAAACGAACCGACTGGTACTCATTACCGCACCTGTTTTTTCATCATACTTTCAAAGGTGACAGGTTCTTTTGAATATACAATTTGGTGCGAAATGTGTGCTTGCGTTTCATACAGTTATTAATACCTGATTTGTTCGTTCCATCATCCAATCAATTCCTAATTGTAGATCGTTCAATTTCATTTGTTTAACCTTTTTTTTATACAATTTGTTATGTTAATGTGTAAAAGACAATTGAATAATTATTTGTTTACGTATCTTCCACTATTGTTTTGTCTTAATTGTTCTTTGTTCATTTGAAAATAACAAAGATACATGGTGTTAAGTGCATATGTTCTGATACCGTCAGTACTTTTTCCTTACCATCGAACTTTGTTACGTTTTGTGCTTTTAATTTTAACTATTTACAGTGGCACGCTTTCAAATTTAAAAAATTTACTTTTACTAATTTTTTACAATATTGTAAATAAATTTAACTATTAATCTTATACTCCTGCAAGTACTCAATTTGCTGCAGAGTTGGAAAGTGAGTAACTATGTATTTCAATATTCATGTTGATAATATTTTTTGAAAATGTAGTATTTTATTTTATAGGCTATACCACATTTATAATTGTAGTCAGTTTTCTTTTATGTATTTGCTGATTTTATAGCCTTTTTATTAAGGTAGAGTAGACAACCGTAGAATATATTTTTTATATTATTATCGAATGTATTTTATATTCACTGTTGATAATTAAATAAGCCCCTCCAACCCTGTACTACTTGGGACACTTTGATTTCTTTTCTAAATGCTTGGCTTTTTCAATATTTATGTTACATTATTTATAATTGCTTTGATCATTCATTGACTGCCGTTCTTCAACTTTCTATCAAATAATTTTTTTCATGATTTACATGACAGTCAATGTAATTATACGAGCTACTAAAAATCATTTAAAGCCGACAGTTTAATTTGCATAGTAAATACTGCTTTTCAGTTTCTCGATTTCGCAAAAAAAAGGAAAAGAATATGATTTTTTACTCTGTTAAATGTGTAAACGATTGTAACCCTTTTGTATTTTTCCAGGCGTGTTGTGCCCAATGTCCCCCCAAGAATTCCAGATCGACCGGCACCAGGACGATTGTAAAAAGTTTTCTACACTTAGCATACATAGCATTAAAGTGCTCGTAATGTTCAAGAGACATCTTTTCGCGAAAACTTTGGTGGCTGTGTCCTTGAAGTAGTTATGCGTTGACGAGATAATGAAGAAGACATTGAGTGTCGAGCAGTTTTTTTACTTTGTAGTTTTCTGTCGTTATCTACCTCTTTTAGGGGTTGGCAATGAGACAGAAATGTGTGCTTGAGACAACTGTTATTTATGGCCATTATCGATATAGAACAATATCAAATAGACTTACGAAATGTCCGTTTTTTGTCGATACTTCAAAGTCCGTACTTTATTCGAAAGCTATTCATATTTAGACATTAAAAGATCAATTGTAATTATTTTTAACGTCATTCCTCCATTTGCAATCATAACTTGAACCTTATTTGACGGAGCGATGGCTGTCCAAAATTAATAAATAAATAGCTAAAATTCGACGTTTAATAATTAAACTGACGTAGATTCAAAATAGTAAGCAATGTTTTTGTTGCCTGAAACATTGTTGCTATTTATTGAGGAATACCGAATTGAAAAATGTAAATAATAATTATATATAAAAACGAAGAAAAAAGTTTTTTTTTGTTATTGCAATTTAAATACTGTGTCAATATTAATAATAAACACTCATTAGCATGATTAATAATATAGATTTTTTTATTCACTTTTTGTGATGGAATTTCTACAATCAAGTTTTCAATGACTGTTGCTACAGCTAGATGTGATGTTCAACGTTGTCAGTAACTACATAAAGTGAAGAAATATAAAGTGGTTAACTTTCTGCGTTATCATTTATCTTTTGATTTGATAGAAAGTTTGTTCACTACACTTTATTTTGTCATCATTTGAACTACTTAAGAAAGAATTTCCAATAGGCCAACAAGTTTTCATATATGTCATATGTAAAATAATTTATTTTTCTTTCTACTGACTTTTGTAATGCAAATTCAAATAGATTAAGTTTTCGTACTTTAAGTTCAGTGAGTTATGAAAAACAGCTGTTTGTATTATGAGAATAGAAGCAGTAAAGACGAGCAGTGTGGCTTTATTAAATTAATTTTTTCTATTTAATATTTTTTCGTGCTATATCCTATAATTCAGACATCGTCTGTAAACAAAATATAGCTTTTCATTTGATAACTTTTGTTCAGTTTGATATCACATTCCAAATGTACACAAATGCTGTATAATTTTGTAGAATTTTAATGTGAGAGTAAAAATATTCGAAATTTGTGTGTTAATATGAGATAATTATTACGTAAAATGAGACTACGATATTATATGGACAATGCTGTCAGTATTATAGATAATTTTCAACCTACTGGACCAAGGCAATAAACATTATTCGAAACATTGAAAATTTAATTTACCTAATTACATGCCTGCAGCTACTTCTGTTCGTCATCAATAATTATTTGATTAAAATATTTATGTATCCATTCTTCAGCCGTACATATTTGTTTCATCCAAACAGTTCTTTACTTATAAGTATTCTATGTATTATTTGTAATTACATATTTCGCTCATGATCCATTTAAAAGCAAAGAAAAAGTCAAAAACTTGTAAGCACGATGAAAGATCATTGACGTTATTTATAGTAATAGTGGCGTGCTATAAATTGTTTCAAGATCAATTCATTTATATGTTTACATAAGGCCAAAGAGTATTTTTCTTCTATGAATAATCAATGTTTCTGTGTAACAATAAAGCTCTGAAGTACTGAAAACAGAAACTTTTTGGTCATAATTTACCATACTTTATCAGTTGAACATAATTTTTTTATTATCACAATGAATACAATATTGTAAATATTCTACATGAAAACTTTGCGAAATAATTTATATTTTTGTGTGCAAACGTGGTTTTACCGTTTATAATTTTCTAGTTACGTATAATTTTAATGGAATTTGTCCTTGGATTGATGCACATTTTATATTGGAAATATGCTGGTATATCAATCGATAGACTAGATCATCGCTCGTCACTAATTTCAAAGTGAATTTTCAAGCTATTTTCGTGTATATAAAACTTAGTTGTTATATGGGTTCAAGAACACGCACGAGAGTACGATTTAATCAATAAAAAATGACTATAGGTAAGCTCAAGTTTTTTTTGTGCCAAAACAAATAAGTCGAAGCTCTCATCAACAGAATGCAATTGTAAGCAATTCTGCTATGTGACGAGCGTGAAGATCTTGCTTTTTTTCAACTTAAAACTTGTACATATTAAAGTAGTATTATAAAATTTTTGAATGCTAGAATGCAAGAGGATACACGGTTTATTCGTTTGTTTGTCAGTTTTAACGTTTACAAGATTATTCTGACTGCTGAATTATGTATCTAGATTTGCGATAACCAAAATAAAGCTTTATTTAATATTAATTTTTTGTCGAATTTTTTTTCATCAAATTCAACGTTTGTTTTTTCTTTTTATTCTTTAGTGTATGATTACAAGTTTATTACAATTGTAATCAAACATTAAAATTAAATAATAACCAGTCAATATAAATGATAAGGAATATTTGTCGTATTTTACTCAAATTAAATTTTGTATTTCGTAGTCACATTCAAAGAGCGTTCGTAACACGCCTAACTCTTGAAATTGCTTGGTTATATTAAGATATCTCTATAATAGTTAATATAATAAAATTTACATTAATTACGGATAAATTACTGGTAGACTTTGAAAAATATGTCTCATGAGAAAAGTGACCAGAGAAATAAGAAGATTGTCGAACTCGTTAAACAAGTCAAAACACTTACACAAATCGTGAATAAATTACAAGTGGAAGTCGACAGTTTGAAATCTAGAGTGTATAACAAAAATAATTCCAATTCTGAAGAATCCAAAACCGTTGAAGCAAATGGATCGAAGTTAAATCGTTTTCGGAGGTTAAATATTTTTCGCAAAGACAACGAAACAGCAGAAAGAAGATCAGCTACCAAGAATGTTTTTTCAAAAAGCATGCAAACAATAGACAAAGAAGATACACAATCCAATGAACATACTGAAAATATGTTAATTAGTCATAAAGAGCAAACTACAAATCAAACCTCTATTAGAGAACCACCTTTCAAGAATAAAGTAGATTGACGTATTAATAGTTTACATATTTTTATATATAAATAAACTTTAAAACATACAAATCATTTTCAGAGTCGATCAAGAGAACATTCTACTCGATCTGTACCTGTCCCTGAAGAAGTAGAATTTTTATGCATTGTTGAAACATGTCCTGCAAGTGATGAAAATAATCTTGAAGATTCTAGGAATTCACGGGAAAGCACCGAAATAGATATCAGATCAACTTGCAAAGAATGTGACAAAAGAAAAACACAGAAGACAAAAAGAGACAAAATTAAGCTCAATAAATTCATAACTAGTAAATGTAGTAAGGATTGTCCATATTTAATTAGAGATAATACAACAAAGGAAAAAAATGCTGCTGCCAAGAATTTTTACGAAGATAAAGCTTACACAAGCAAGAAAAAACAATGTAAGAATAAGAAGACTATGGTTAATTTTGTGAAAAATGACAAAAGAAAATCACGGAAATTCATCAATAGCAACGAAAATTTCTCAACCAATTGTAAACGTTTTGAAAGCTCGTCGTATATAAATGAAGGTAAAGATAATCATCCAGAACCAACTAAAATACAGTTACTGGATCACGATCGTAAATGTATCAAAGTCAGAGAGATATATTGCAAGCGATGCTTTAAAAAGCGTAAAACCAAGGTTTTAAATAAACAAGGCAATATTGATTTTAAATAATTTCTCTTAGAACATTTTTTGGGCAATGGATTTACGAAAAAAAAATCTCAAGTAATTGTAAGAAAAAGAAATAAGAACATTTATTGTACTATATCATTTATGTTTTACTAAAATTTGATGATTCAACGTCTTCCCTCGCGTAATCACATAGTAGATAATTTTATTTTGTATAAAAAGTAATTTAATTATCGATATACTTAATATGGTGACATTAATATATTTCATAGAGACTTTGAGAAAAAAATTTATCGCGAAAGTTATTGATGAATAAAAAATCAATTTTCAGAATTTCATGTTTGTTATTGAATTTATTGCTTGTTAATTGGATTCACAATTATGTTATCACGAGGCTGTCAAGTATACGTCTGATTTGATCATGGCCATTAATTTCTATTTGCGGTTTCATGAATCATGCAAGAAATTTATATCTCAGAAAAGAACTGACGCTGAGAACAAAGTAGATCAAGAAAGCTATTGGAGAGTCAATTCTAATAATATTATGTTCACGCTTCATTATTATAAAAGTGATTAAATGAATTCATAACTATCGATGGTATAATAATGCTACTGTAATTATACAATTTATACTTCTAGCATAGTCAATCAATTCTGTTTTATATTCTACAGCGCTATTTTCGTAAAAAAAAGGATAGTAATACGACAATCAGATTTTTTAAAACTTGTATTTTTACTGATCACTAAACTTGGAAAATGTGCTGAGTATTGCGACAGTAAAATTAAAAAACTATATTAAAGCACCCTATTGCATAATAATACTTCTTTGAGCGAACAGAATTCAACGGACGAAGATTCATTTAAAAAGAAATAGTGTTAAAAAAATGTGGTATATCAAACTGAAGTATATTCCAAAGATAAGCACAAATAAAAGATGTAATAGCTTATTTGAGTAAAACAAAACGTGATGAACGGTATAATTATGAACAATCTAACAAAAATTAAAAAATTAGCAGTAAAATTATAGCAGTAAAATTATGTGGAATTTTTAATTTGTTTTAATAAAATGTCATTAATAAAATTAACGGAATACAAATAATTATCTACGGATATGTCGATTTTGTTATTAATTGAAATGAGTTTTTTAATAAAGTACAAAATTTTAATTCAAATAAATATGGTACACGCGCGAAATTAACAGTTTATCGAAATTGTTTCCATTGGAATAACAAAAATAATGGATTTAGCAAAGATAAAAATAAAACATTTCCAGAAAATTAACAAATACAAAAATTTGTATTAATCGTCAGTAATGGAAAAAATATTGCGAAATTAGTAACATAATTTATTATACGCAAAAAATATTATGCAGAAAATTCTTCTTCCTCATAAAAGTATTTCGTTCAAATGTTTATTATATATAAAAATTATGCTTCATTAAAAGAGTAATAGCAGTAAACTATCTACAGTTTCGATGCTTTTTCATTGAAAGATACCTAATTATTAATAATGTGGAAAAATTTCCTTGATAAATGCTTGAACCTTCACAATGTTTGACAAAGTATTAATATTTAATGGAAGATTAATTATATTTGACTATAATTCATTTAAAGTATTTAATAACAGAGTTTTTGAATAAAATTGTTGTTGTTATTAACATAATCAGTTTTTATTTTCTGCTATGGATCTATTTCGATGAATTTACAAGATGAATTCTTTGTACTATAATACAAAGTTACAATTTTAAAGATTATACTTCTACAAAATGACGAGTAGTAGAAAAGTGAAACTATCCAAAAACAAAAAATAATTTCGATATTCAATATCAACTTTTATACAAAAATTAGGAACAGTCTCTTACTTCATTATTAAATATTACAAGAATTATTTGAAAAGCTATATCAACAATATATAAAGCAAATGATTTTGATGAACAATGAAGTTTACATATAAAATGCTAACGTGTCCCTAATATCACATTGCTGATGACATTATCCATTCTAATGCGCGTGTATTTTCAGAAAAATAGATATTATCACACAAAACAAATTATACATCTCTTAACTTAAAAATCATATTAAAAACCAATAACATTAGTTAAGTACCGAAAGCAATCAATTAAATGGTTTTGTTTCATTGATACGTAAACAAAATCGCAGAACGGTGTAAATTTTTCAAATCTAGCTAAAATAATTTTTTTCCGACGTAGATATCAATGAATAGTTTATTAAAAAAATTGTTCATACATGAACAGAACAACGCGCTAAAAACAGAGTGTGTCGCAGTAATTGAGGCGCGCGCCTGCGCGAACCCTATATTTCATTTCGGCTCTTTCAAATGACTTCCTCTTCGGCTATTTATTCGTCCGATTAATCCAACTTGAGGCTTTGCATGTGGTTCTCGAGCGCTTCCTGGGTCGACTCTTTGAACACTTTGTTCATTTGCTCGTACGTCTGGTCAATCAACTTTGGTAAATCGGCCTTAGTCATCCCTTTCGTGGGGATTGCTGGTAATATTGTTATGAAACTCGTACCTAAAAATAAGCCATTCTATAGTTTATTCTTCAGTTGAAGAGAATTCAACGTGCATGAATGACTCGACAATATTTTTGTGCTCGAAGAACTAACGTTCGTGTGGGTTTAAAAGTGTTATAACGGTCTGCACTTGTGTTGGAATAGTAGAGCTTGCAAAAGTATGTTAGTGGACCCCATCGCTCTTACTATTTATGTTTGAAAAATCGCTGCATTCGATATGGAAATTTCCACTGGCTGGTTATAAACATTGTGCGTTCTACTCTCGTGCGTTTCATAAAAATTCTACGGTATTCCAGCGTAACCTCTCACATTCATTTTCATTATGTCAATTTATGTGAATTTTTGAAAATTTAAATGAAGCGTAGGTAAAGTCGGTATTTCAAAAAAGTTAGTGAAAATGGTTAAAATTATTGGTCATTTTAGCTTATATCAATTTTAAAAAGGACATGCCTATCTTATAAGACTACGAAAGTTATACACATTGCAACTGGTATATGCGCGATTGTAAACGCAAGTGGAAATAACTTACCCGAGTCGAACTTTTTCAGCTTATCATTGATAAAGTAATATCTCGAGACAACCACAGGTTGAATAGGCGTCTGTGAGTCAATTGCTACGTGAAATCCTCCTTTCTTGAACGGTAACAGGTTTGAACCAGTGTGTCTCTTTCCTTCTGGATACATCAGTACTTTAGCCTGCGAGCGAAGATAAAAAAAAAACGAATGTAAAAAATTTACTTGTCGCCAAACTTTTCAGACAAGATAATTGCGTTTACCTTTCGTTCTCTGATAATTTCAGCAGTCGAATTGACAGTCTCCTGGGCTTCTTGCTTCTTCACGCGATCGATGAAAATCGTGCCCCAAAGCCAACTTGCCAAACCAAACGTACCGAAATACAGCACTTGTTTTTTCGAGATGACTGTGCACCTTTCGAGTACCGGCCAAAGTTCAGCCAACACTAATTAACGTCATCAATGATTGCATAAATCCAGTGTGTTTTAAGTTTTTTTCATCTATTTTTGGAGAATCGCGATGCTTATCTTTTTCAACAGTGACATTTTCAACGAATAAATACTTGAGAGATAATGATTCACCTATTAAAGTCCAAGGATTTTTCAAGATAACGTTATATTTTAAATTTTAGACTCTCGAAAATTAAAAACAAGTTTTATAAGACGTTGAATAGCGACGATGAGATTTGTATTTTACGTATAGCCGATTGTAATTTATACAAAAATAAGAATGAAAATTAGTTTTACCTAATTACATTAAAAGTAATGAATGGCATTTATTACGAAATCAAAATACTAAATATTACAGATTAGCATACATATATAGGTGATAATTACTTCTGTAAATTGGTACGTAAGATAATTATTCTAGCCGACCTACGTTCGATCAGGATCGCAGTAAATCAAAATTACACTCTACATGCGAAATTGCAACATCACACCGCATACAAGTACTTACCGCAAAGGTCGAGATTACTCTGATGATTGATTAACACGATAGCACCTTCGTCTTTGACGATATTCTCCTTTCCACGTAATTGATAGTTCAAACCTATAAGTTTGGCAGTCAGTCGGCATCCAAACGCTGGTATCCTATACGAATACCCATCAAACACGTAAGAAAATATGTAAAAAAACATATACTTTTAATAAGACTCACAGAGCATTCTTCCAATCTCGTATCCTAGCGAACATCAATGGGATCGGCCATGTCGCCCAAATTGCACTGGAGATGACGAAGACTGTGTGTTTGATGTAATATCTGGCGCATTCGCTTATCGCGCACAGCACCACTGATAGGAGGAACAACGCTATTCCCAAGCTGTTGCACGACATTCCTAGCATCCTGTAGTGAACAAAAAATAGTTAATCGTCTTCACGAGATGAAAGGGGAACGCGATCCGCACAAGTCGAGATGCGAATTTCGACTGTCAAGTTCGACGTGTCCGTGTAAAACGGACTATAAAAAATAACTGTTAGTGAGCAGAAAAATAGCGCGCGCTGTTAAACTAATGCATATGTAACAGTTCACTTTCTGGCGTGCACAGCTGTCGAGGCGTGAGAACACCTACGTTTTTAAGAATTTGTATTGTATATACGAACGATGCTAATTTATACAAAAGTAAGAATGAAATTAGTTTTACCTTTTTCAATGAGTGGCATTTATTACGAAATCAAAACACTATTGTTAACTAACATATATTTCCGTACATTTATAGGTGATAATTACTTCTGTGAATTGGTGCATAAGATAATTATTCTAGCCGGCCTACGTTCGATCAGAATACACTATAAATAAGCTCGAGAAAAAAGTAAAACTTGTATTTATGCTGTTAATTTAGAATTTTTTTAATTATATGAGAGAATATATAAAAGATACGGTTGTAGCAGTTCAATTGTTCTAATAAGCTCTCAACAGGTACAAAAAAATGAAATGCGAATAAATTTACTGTTGATTTAGAACTTCTTACATCAATGAGAGAGAGTGCACGAAAGTTTTTCTCACATCTATTGACTTAATGATTTTTCAAATGGTCGAAAACCATTAAATGGTTAGCTGACGAAGCTAATAGTCGCTTGCATAAACATTCGATATTTGAAAACCAAATAATTTCTAAATAAAGTTCAAAGAAACACACACATAATTCCGGGTAGGGCCAACCTTGCGTCAAACAATGCAAGGTGAATCGAATAAAAAAATTTACGCGCAGACTTCAAACGAGCAACTTTCTATTGAGGGCTCATTGTAGTAAGTATATTCCTAAGTGAGTGTAAAGTTACGATAATCTATTGTTCGGGTCTTGATACGCGTACACGCGCGCGCGCGCGCGCGCGCATACACACACACACACAGGTCTGCAAGCGTTGGGCAGTATAATCAACGTTAACATCAGACTCACGGTCTATCCCTGAACAATCGATAAGAGCATAATTACTTATTACTGAACGCAAATGAGAATTGATGCCTTAGTGCAAATCATTTATTTATTAGAACGAGGTCAAAGTTTGATAAACTCTCCTAGCTGTCGCTTGCATAGTCTTTGTTGTAGGCGTATGACATCGTACGCAGATGTTTGTTATCGCGCGTGTGCAAGAAAATGTCGAAGCAATTTTCATTTCAATCGGATAATTCGTTGAAAGACGCGTCGGTTTGCTCTCATCTGGTTGTACGTTTAACAAAGCTTGATATGTAAATTGCATTCATTAGTTATATGCGTCTTTTGTCGTACATGGCCAGCTGCGACATATAGAACGAAATAGTATGAAAAAATGCTTGGCGTGTCTCATCTTTTGCTGACGCGGGAAACGTCACTCCTACTCTCGTAAATGTTCCACTGACATAATAGCCTATAAAGCCGCGTAATCACAGCAGCAAAATCGTTAACCTTGCCCGCGTGTCTTGTCAGGAAATTAAGCTATAATATGACTTTACTGGCCGTAAGTGATTTTTTTTATGCCGACGATTAAATTTACTTTGTATTAGGTTGAATTATTCTAAAAAAATCAATAGCAGAAGTAAACGATAGATTGAGATTAAGTTAGCTTTAATAAAAATTACATAACGATAATTTTCTGTGATTATCTGTTTCACTTCTTTCACCGAGGACAGGCTATCTCTTAAAAAACATTGTTTTGCGATCAATTCAAGTGATTTAATGCCGATTTTCTTAACGTATTAATTAACTTATTGACGAAGTGATTAAGTTCAAATGACGACTCAAGAAACGGATGAAACGACGTATAGACATTGATCATAAATCAATTTGTAGGATTTTGAAAATTACCTTAATTCGACATCACCTATCGCAATAATGCTGACGCTCTCATTTTTCATCTATTTCCCAAGCTAAATGGAAATAATCAAGCAATGATTTCTTTAAGCGATTCAAAACACACACATCAAATCAACGGCACGCAAAATCAGCCGGTAGCTTCATGGTCTGTTCACTGCATGTGAATCATGAGTCTATATACCTCGCACATTACATCATAACTCGTCCATGCCATATTTACACACTCCAAGTCAACATGTATCTGTAGGTTTCTTTTGCCGCTCGGCTAGATTGTTCGCTTTATCGATCTTTTCTGGTATGCGCCTTCAGGAAGTTGCACCGCTTTGAAGATTCTCCATCGGTTTAAAAAAAAGAAGAAGAATATTACCGCGCAAAACCTTGGTTTTAAATACACCCTATTCTCTCTCCGTTAAGGGCGTAAACGAGGGCATGTACGTACGATTGATCAGGTTTTCTTCTGCTATTTCAGGCGTGTATAATTATAAAAAATGAGGTTTTATTAAACATTCACGATTGAGCTAACGACTTTTCTAAAGTATTTATTAGTGCATGAATCATTCGATTAATATTACCTTTCCAATTAACTTAAGAGAATAAACATAATTATCAACTTTTTCTTTGTTTTCTCTATTCTATTCTATTTATTTATTTATTTTGCTTCGTGCACGCGCGTCTTAAAAATGAGTAATTTGAAAAAAAAAGGTTATCCTTCGAGAACTGAATGTCACGACATTGAGGAAATTTCTTAAATTATCCTTGATGGTCGATGTCTTTCTGTTAATTTAGAAATACAATATCATAATTAGAATGTAACAAAGAATGTCATGTGAATGATCAAACGTCGACGTTACTCAAAGCTTTTCTTTTCTCAACTAAATTCTGTGGCCGCGAGGTCGAACGAAATGTTATCTGGTGTGAAATCCATGGCAAAAAAATACATGCGATACACATCGTTTACGTGATATATTTGTGGCACATAGTACGAACAATTGCATTGGCTACTGACCTATTAAGAGGAAAAAAAGCGCGCGATAATCCGATCGCTTCCTAATCAGATTATTTCTTACTACTGTGTAAATTGTGCAATGCCAGCTCTCGGTCAATATGCACTTATGATAATTAGGCTTACGGTAATGCGATGTGCATACTTATAAGTACGAACACCGATGACAGGACGCGATGACTGTACGTAACGGGCAATTTTTTACTTCGCGTTGTCGGAGGCACACTTTTCATCTCCCGAGGCACGAGTGTACTTGTTGTTTGCGAGACGAAGTACTTTTCATTTTATGAAAGCAGACTAATGCCAAAATGACAATTGAAAAATAATACCAAACACAAGTAGATCGGGGCAATAGAAAATGAGCGAGTCTCGCGCATGCACATATCGATCATCAAAGTCGCGCGATACTCTAAAAGTGTTTACGTTGGGTAAGAAACAACTGGGAGCGTGGCACTTTTAGCTTATCTCTATTCGGTTTTTAACAGTTCGTCTTTACGCAACGTGTATAAGGAAGGCAGCACACGTTTGGCTAGATACGCGAAGTGCAGCGCTTGGCATTTTGAAAAATTTATGGCCGACTTAGTTTTGAAGTTTCTCCGAAGTACTCGCGATGTCAACTGCAGTGAACAAAGTTTTCTTTCTTTAGGTCGCGCGATAACAAAGGCCATGACTTGCTGAACAATCAATGAATTATTACGTAAGAATCGTTTAGATACGGATAATCTGTCGATTTTTCATTATTTTCAATCTAGATAAACAGCTGTTATTGCGATATTGAATTATTGTCAGATTTTACGAGTAAATAAGCGAGTTCAAAGTACATATTGAGGGATTGAAGTAGCACGTAGTTGTGTGTCGATATGATAGTGTGGAAGAGTCGGGTCGTCACTGGGTTTGAGCGAGAGAGGGAGTAGCGGGGAAAACTATAGCGTCGTATGGGAAAGCGAGGGATTTTGCGAGAGCGGGCCATACTCTAAAGAAGACCACCCGGCGCGGCTACACGACGAAATGGCTCGTCCCTAATTACCACGAACAGGAAATTCTTTACGTTTAGGATGAAGGAAGCATGTTGACTAAGAGAAATAACGATGAGAATCGTTGGTCTTTTGGTGGATAAGTGTATTAATCTTTTGACCGCCGGCATTTTTTCTTCTAGAAAACCGATACCTCGTGGGACATTTCCAAACAAGTATTTCTCCACTAGTAAAGATATGTGCTCATCGCCCTAGATATCGTGCATTTATATTTTGCCAACGGTCAGAAGGTTATAATGCTTAGAAGCTGTGTTTCAAATTTCGTGGGCCTTCAGAACTTCAAAAACGAAATTAACGGAATGGAAACATGCATTCTGTTTATGAAAGCATTCAAAAATGCAACAAATCTAAAAAACTTCTGATATAAGCCGAAAATAAATCCAGAATCATATCCGCTCGCAAAAGTATCAATCAGAGCCTAAGAGAATATGAAATGCATAATTTCCATTGTGAATATTTCAAAAGTTGTAGGTTAAACACGGGAATAGACGGCAAGCTTTTGTGACGCACTACGCGAGTCTTTAGTCAAATCGAAGCGTTCTTTCAATTAACTAGGTCCGAATCTACCTTGAGGACAATCATTTTTCTTTAGATTTCCCTGCAACTTTGAAAATGTTTTTTTTTTCAGTTTGAAGTTCATTTTTTCATTACCGACATCAGATCTTCATCATAACATTTTACCTTTTTAACACGTCTCAAATAGATTTCGTATAATCGTGCAAAGCTAATATATTGTGCTAGGGACCATAAGAAACCAAATAAAATAATGAAAAATATAGATACCGATATTTATTGAAAAGTTATATTTCATTTTTTCATTATTTCCGTGCAGTTAAAACATATCCCAATAACTATGCGTCTCTTCGAGCGATCTTCAATGGAAAAAATGCTATTCGACGATTTTGACCAAAATACGTAAGCTTTTTCAGTGGACTGTTCCAAGAGAACGACCTTAAGCTAGTTTTCTATCAGTTACGAATAAATAATACGTCTTTATGTATTAAATAAGTGTGTCAATTGAATTGCAAGCTGTCACACCCAGACCCATAAAATATCCCACAATGTAACTGCTGATAAGAAAAGCGATTATCTATTGATCGACGTATAAAGTGAATATAAATTCTGCTGATTAGCGCTATCATTGAATGATTGAATTCAGTTGTTCAATACGTAGCGTGATGCAGCGTGAAAATGACCAATCAGCGTTTCACTAAATTGTACTATAAGAATTACAATATTCGCGCGAATTGGAAAATCATTTTCGTGTTCCACTAATTAGCAGACGTTAAAGTCACTCATTAACGTTGGCGTAACGCGCTGTTGTTGACACTACGATTTCTCGCATACGAAAATTCTCAGGAAGCCTATCAACGAATTCATTAAGCATTTACATTTTGTTCCACTGACTTTGTAGCTACGGCAGGCGGCAAATTGCTTTTAATTTGACTCAACTATCTCGTGAATATTCGATCGGTGCCTTTTCAATCGTCAAAGGTGCGCTATAAAAAAAAGGGATATAAAGAAAGGGATTGCGCCTGGTTACGACCGATGAACCAGACAGAAGGGCTGTAAGCCTGCAGTTGTCTGTAGCTCGAAAATGACTCTGATCCACGTAAGCTTTCTCCGACGAGCCGAGCGCGCGAAAGTCACGGGAATTGCCCAACTCGAGGTTATTCGCCTCGCTTTTCGCCAGCTGCGATCGCTGCAGTGAAAGCTGCGATTCCACGATCAAGGCTACCACGTGTTTTCCTTTTTTCCTTGATCTTGAGACTGCTGCGCGTCGATTGAACGTCTCAACTAACACGCTCGAGCGAGTTTTAACGTCTCGAGGAGGTGATTAATGATTATCGACCGTTTCGCTATCGTCATACCTACGTCTTATTGGCTGAAAATCGTCATGACTCATCTATCTAATACCGCATCTCACGTATTACTCGCCTATATGGAACGATGTTTCGTCAATTGATTAACCTTGATTAGAGAAAATACACGCGCGCGCACGCTATCGTAGATTTCAAATGATGTAACGCTTATTGATTTAAAGTGTAATAAATGAAGCCCCGTAAACACGAAGCCAAAGTGTCTCGAGGTTCGAGAAAGTGAAATTATTGAGGCGCGGTGTGTCGTTAGCAGTTAAAGTGTTAATTTAGTGACGTAAGTCATTTGTATTCTTATCCAAATATAGGTTTTCGTGCGACAATGGTCAGTTTTCTTCGTGCATGTAAACATTATTAGTTTATTTCTACGATGCTTGTTTGTATTTTACCAAATTCCATTATTTGGAAATTTTACCTAATTCTTTATTTTTGACGGTAAAAAGACGGTATAGCTAATCGAAGAAGATAATCGATTCGACGTTATAAAGTCGTGAACGCAATGAACGTCCGAAAACAACCTGTTACACGCATACATAATTTCACAACTTGACGACACCGCGAAACTTATACTCTCCTATTAAAAACTTTTGATATTATATATATCTAAATAGCAGTTCATATACATACTTGTATCACGGCAAAAACAAATACGAATGGAAATTTGTATTATGCCTAACCTCTCGTCTAATACCAGTGCACGTACAGCGCTCCAAAACCACAGCACCAAAAAACAAGATCAATGCTCAACAAGTGATATCACCTTGAATGAAAAAAACATGAAAACGAAGCCGTAGAATCCGACGCGACGCACTTATGAACCATCAATGACCACGCTCGATTTCAGACTGGCGAGCGGAGTTGAGCCGCCTGACTAACGCACGTGTGTATTAACCGCTTTATCGAACGATCGTACAGCTATACGTACACGAACACAAGTAGATTTTATGTGGCGTACTGTGCTCGTAGGAACGCTGTGGTCTTATAGAACGTTGACTTGTCGACGGTGCGATGGTAAGGTAGGAATTTTTATAGGAGATATAATTTAAATTTATTTTTTAATTTGTGCTTTTCGATTTCAATTAGTGAATGTTTATATTATACGCATATAAAATGATGTTTTCAATAACATAAAAAAAGTTTATAAAAAATGACGTTTATCAAAAATAATAGTCGAGTCTATATCTGAATATGATAAATTTTATTATTATGTAAAATTATTGCAACAATAATTCAAATATATATAGGTGATGTAATTAAATAAGGCTCTCGGTAATCGGATGATCTACATTATCTTGAAACGAATCAATGAATTGACGTTTAGACTGATGAGTGTTCTAATAATAAAATCTCGATAGAAAGGTTGCGTAGTGAAGCTTCGAAAATCAAATTTTGTTTCCATTGTTTGGTCTGCCTTCATGAATAAACAATGCAAACTTATTGTTAATGTTGAAAAATAATATTATCAAATGATTATATTGTGTTATACTATAACTGAAGTGGGAAAATGACTTGATATCATTGCATACATTGAATAAGTGTGAACCAGGGCCAGATTGGTTATCATTTTTCTTTAATTTTGACCTCCAACATTTACAGACCGTAAGTTAAATATTATTTTTCTTTAATTGAGTTATTATGAATATACGGTAGTGTTCGTTTATAAAAGATGAATTATATATAAATTGTTGAAAGGTACATTTTTGTCTGTGGTAAATTATAGATAAAAATTGAAAAATAAATCAATTAAAATGGTGGAAAATAGCAATGATGGTGATGAGTTGGAAACAAAAACAAAACGTGATACTTTAATGGTTTTTAAAAGTCATAGAGGTATTTAAAATTCCATGTTTACCGTCACTGCATTAGAAAGTTAATTGTAGCAAAGTGATAAAACAAAATCTAATGGATGATAAATTTTGATAGGACCTGTATTATGCGGATCACTGAGTAAAGATGTACAATTTGCTGTAACTGGTGGTGCAGATTCAAAAGTTTACTTGCACGATTTGAGAACTTTCGGAAGCGTTATATTGACCATGACATTTTTTGGCAAAGAGCTCTACACATATGTAGATTTTAGTTACGATGATCGATATATAGCAATAGGAGATAATAATGGTACCATTCAAGTTTACAAGAAGTACATCAATTTGAACGCTTTGATAGTTCATCAACACGAGTGTAATGAAAAATTTGTAGTGAGTAAAAAAAAAGCTTTTGCACTTTCATTATAACATTGGTGTAATCCGACTCTTTTAACAGTGGATTCAATGGCATCATACAATTTTAAATCGATTGCTTGGTCTATCTTTGGATGGTAGAATTTACTCATGGGATGTTCCTAGTAGACCAAAGTCTATTAAACCTTTTAATGCAGAAACTACTACGGCATGTCTAACATCTGATGGTATTTAGTAATGTAAAAAATACAATAGAAGCTTATTTGTTCATTATTGCTCTTGGTTGGACGTGAATTTCAGGAAATAAACTCATAGTTGGATGCAGGACAGGCACGTTGAACGTGGTCGACTTAATAACAGGTGTACTTTTGACAACAGTCACGCCAGACATAGGACATACTTCTGATATCACCTCTGTCGACTGCCACGCCAATAATTTAATTATTTCGGGTGCTATGGATGGCAAAACCATCATAAGCGATGCTAATACCGGCGAAGTATTTTAATGTACTAATTGAAAAAGTAATGTTAATTTATTTACTGCTGATTTGTGAATATTAAAATTTTAGGTAATTATTGTTTTGCACGATGTATATGTTGGAAAACAAAGGAATATCATGCAATTTTTCGGGATGAGGGAGTTTTGTGATCCTAGCGTAATGAGGAACTGGACTGAAAGTATTGCTATTCAGAAAAATGTTGTGCTACCGATGGCTGCCACTGGCACCTTCTGGGGTGAAATCTTTATCTGGGACGTGGAATCGAAAGTAAAATAAATTTACAATTCTCGATGGTAAATTTTTATCTGGAACGTCATTTGTTTTTTACAGTTAATGCAGCATAAATTAACGCATGGTGGAGTCACGCGACTCATGTGGAAAGAAAATACATCGATTTTATTCTCTGCGAGTATGTATGGAAATATAAAATCTTTTAACGGAACGACAGGTGAATGCCTGTATACTTTCAAATGTGAAGGTTTATCGCATTTACATAGTTTTTGTTTATCTTCGTAAGTTTAACAACAAATGTATAATTTAATCTGTGTAGAAAAAATTGTGTTTTTAATTTAAATTTTATTTCAGAGATGGCAAAAAAATGTTAACCACGACCGACGACGGAGTTGCAGTTTTTGATATAGAAGACGATTTGTTAACTGAATCATGATAAATCAGTCAGTTAAAATTATATTTAGATACCTATTGTTAATTTTATTATTGAATGGCTATAAATTTTAAATATATAGTAGTTAGTAACAAGTTGTCATTAATAAGTAATTCAGAAAATAAAAAAAGGAATATGTTACATTAACACAGGTATAAAAGTGTATTTACAAAGTCTTACATTATTATTTTAATTTATATTGTTAAAGTAACAACAGTATAAAATACAATCTGGTTTTGTAGTTCAATATATGGTTTCAAATTACCTATTCATTCTGTTCACTTGTCTTTAATTTAAAATCACTTTTTGACTTTGTTGATCTTAAATTTCGATATTTTAATCCTTTAGCATCAGTTTCGGATTTTAATTTATCTTGTTCATTGTTTTCAATATTATTTTCATTGGATTCTTGGTCTTTATTAGTTAATCGTTTTTTAATCATACTAACAAAATCAATTGTCTCTGTTCTTTCTCTACGAGGAAGAAGCGTAGAGCTTTTACTTTTTTTTATACCAGGGACTGTATGTTTTGACCTTGTCTTTGGTTTCAAATATATTTCTTGAGAAGATTCTTCTGTATGCTCACTTTGTGATAATCCTTGAGAATTATCACTCTGACAAGCAGACACCCCTGAATCTTTTTGTTCATCATCCTCACCCTTGTCAGAATTCTTCAGAATGAATTCATTACTGTTAGGTATGCTCAAAATATTCTCTTCAGATGTATCCATGCATATCGTTTCCTTATTGACTATTCTACCACCATTTGCAAAAGCAGATAAACCTTTACGTCTCCACATTTTTGAAGTACTTGGAACTGCAGTCTTACACCTTCCTTCAAAACGGAATTCATTAAGATCAACATCCCCAATTTCTCCTTTTAAATATGCTAAATATTTTTTCAATGAGGTGTAAAAGTGAAGTTTGTCCTCCATTCTTGGAAAATTAGCACAGCGAGCACTGCTAGAAGGTACAACCCATAAAGCTGTATCACCAACACGATGAGGCTGCAAACCGAACTTAAAAGTGCTCTTATCATATTTATCAGTAAACTCTTCATATATACACTTTCCATTGAACACAGCAACTTTTGGTTTAAACTTTTTTAACTTCTCGTGCACAAACATTGCTCCTTTTTTAATCTCTGCCCTGCTCAAATCAGCTGATGATCTTGTTGCTCTAGCTACTATATTTGTTAAACCAATGTCATATTTAAGAAGACTATCATCTGCTTCATAAGTTATAGGTTCAGGTATTAGTTCTGATGCAAAAAGCAATTTGTAAAAATGATTTCCAGGGCCAGCGTAATACCTTCCTGTGTGGGCAGCCATCAAACTAGGATTAATACCAACGAATACCAAGTCTAAATCAGCTTTCAAAATGTCTTTGAGTGTATTTTTCTTTACTTCTTCTTCTGACAAACCATCGAATCTACCCGATTTTTTCGGTGGTTTTTCATCGACTTCTGATGTTGCTCTTTTCTTCAATTTTCGCAACGATATCGACATGATTCTATTCAATTTCGTTATCATGAATTCATGCAATATATAATTAATTCAAGATTAGTCAATGATATATATTATCTAATTATACGTGTACAATCAACCTTTTCATTGCTTAGGAAGGCGCGAAAATTTCTGAACAACTTGAAAACATAACAGACTGCGAGATGAATCACGTGGTCGGAAAACTTTCATTTGATTCGCGTTATTCGTGAGTGCGCGTAAAAAATATTTTTAGACCAGCGCGGTAATTAGCGGTAAAATTCGAAATGCTCTTTCTGTAAATTCTTACGACTACCCTTTTCAATCAACTTTATTTCACAATTCATAATAAAAATAATTAAAGAGAAGTAAATTGAATAAATATGTATTTATTTCAAACTATTTACAGACAAAAACATAGCATACAATGTTCTTGGTCACAATCGCTGGCAACATCATACAGTAGAGAAGAATGAATTTGTTCAAGACAACAACCAAGCATTTCTGCAAAAATTAAAAGGTGTTCTATTGAGTCCATCATTTTATTATTCATATTTTCTAATGAAAATTAAATTTTACTTTTATTATTATCACACCTTTCCAATTTTAAGGGTATATAAATCATTTAAAAACTCATATTATACGGCTTTTTATAATCAACTCTTTTTAAAGATGTGTCAATACAAAAAGTGTACTTACATATCATAAAAAAACTTAATTGTTATTTAAGTGTTTTTATAATTTATAAAGTATATAATTTATAAGTTTAAACAAATATTCTTCCGTATAGCGTTTAGCCAAATTCGATGTGAATGAATATTTGTAATTGAAATCACTAAATTTTATAATTATATGTACATACGTAAATGTTACATGAAAAATTTTATTGTTACAAAAACATCTTGAACGTGACTCAATTGGTTGATTAACGCGTTTTTGTACGTATTTGTGCAAATTAGTTTTATATATTTATAAGTAAAAAGTACTACTTTTTTACACTTATAATTTGGACAGAACATCGTATTGCAGCAATGCTAAAAATAAATCACACGACCATCTGTTAACTTTACATGTTTGTACCGTAATATTTACCATTGTGGAATCACTGAATATTCAGTAAATGATTTGTATTCATAGAATAAGATTGAAGGTAGATAAATTTTTTAGGTATTATTGGCACTAGAAAAGGCCCTAGATTAGATTATATATTCATGAATTCAGAAGAAGTGTCATTTTATAGTACACTGAATAAATACTTTTTTGCAGATAAACTCCTAATTTACTAGTTGCAATTAATCGAGATAGGTTTAGTTATCATTTGATTATACGTATTGCGTTGTGCAAAACATTTTAATTCTGTGATTTTTCTAAAATTTCATCAGTATAATAGTTTTCTTTTTCAATGAATGCTGAGTATTTTTGCCTATATTCTTTTACTTTAAAAGTTATTTGCAAAGTTTATAGTCTATAGGTAAATGTTTTATTGGGGATAATCTTTGTAAGCGCAAATAGTTTCAAATAAATGTTTTAAATAAAACAGTCAATGATTACAGTTACATAAACCTTATTGAAAAAAAATGAACCGTACAGCGGACGGATGAAACTTGAGCGAGTGTTTTATATACCTATAAGTATGTGCAAGAGATAACTTTGATTATATTGGATTAAGAAGAAGTCTTTTTTGGATTGTATTGAAACTTTCGTTAAGGTTTTATAAAGCTTTACCTAAAAATACTCTAGTTCTAATTACGTGATGTCTCTTGTAAGTTTGTGTTACATAAATTTATGTATAGGTATATAGATTAGATCTTGTCATGAATTTAAAAATCCTAGTTAGACTAGATATGAATGAAGTATAGTTGCTAAAATTTGTTAGCTTAGGCGTGCAAAAGTATTGTAAAACGATTTTTTTCTTAAGAAACTTTGCAATACGATTATATTCTTTTCATTTTTTACTTTCAATCACCTATCTACGGAAGCCATTGTGTTCATTACTGGAGACTTTTTTACGTTTCAATAGGTACTGTAGAGTGAAATTGCGCTAATTGTAAAAGTTTTGAAGTAAAATTTTGCTCAGATAGTCATTAGTGACTGCTTAAGCTCGTGTTTTGATTACATTTTAAAGTTCTTAAAGAGTTGAAATCTTCTACAGACAGTGAAAATTAAAATATTTCTTTTTTTACTATCAATTAGTTGATGCAATACAAAATTAAACACTATGTAAGCTATTATTACTAGATATATGCTTGTTATTACAAAAAAGTATACGTCCTTAATGGTAGAAGGCAATGTAAAGTTAGTGATAGTCACTATAAGTTATTTACATCATCAAAAAAATTTTCTTATCAACGTAGGTATCCTATTAATAAAATTATATCTCGTACGTAAGTACATTTCATAGTTTTAATCAGTGTTAATCATCAATGTACAAGACTTTGCAATTGTTATCACACGTAGCATACTTACGAAATATCAAAATTTATTTCGATTGGTTTTTGATATAAAATAAAGACAAATTACATCTTTTTTCATATTACGCAATTGGAGTATAGAGATTCCATTTGATTAGCATAAATTTTCATGAATGTGTTGTATTTATTATTAGATGATCTCTGAATACTATATTTAGATTAAGAAGCAAACTCATAAAACAAAAATTTTCAATAAGAAAGTAAAACATGATATTGGACTAAGTTTTTCTCGAAAACTCACTACATAATAAACACATTACTCACTCCTTATGAAAATGATAAAAGATTTTTCAAATAAAAAACAATACATAAATACAACACATTTATAAAATTTATATCCGTAACACATAGTTATTAATCTTAAACATGATAAGCACCAGCTTTTACATCAAGGAAAAAGACTGTATCTTTCTAAAATAGTCTCGTCTCTACAGAGTCTGAGTTTCAATTCTTAGTTAAATATATAGGATCTTCTACAGTGCTTAACGACCACGTTATTGATTTAAGGTACATAACATCACGTTTATTATTATCATTACCGCCATGAATAAAATGACGTGACATTTTCTATTATATAGTTCTATGTAGCTTAAGTAAGTACGAAATTCACAATACAAATAAATATCTAAAAATGAATGATTTAATTCGAAAATAATTGTTACATTATGGCGGTAATGAAAACACTAACAATTACTTCGTTTGTTTATGACACTATTGAGTTGTTTTTTACGCTTACAACAAACAAATGTCCGAACGGCAAATGTCGATGAGACGTATAATAATTCCCAGTAAGTATGAAATGTGTAATACATGTAGCATATTTCAAAAACTTTCCATTTGTTTACCCGCACTGCCTAGCTTTTTCCGATATTTAATTTTTTAGAGGCGACACGTTATATTCGAGAGATTGTCGCTACAATGTATTAAATTTATCATTTATTCTTTTTCACGATAGTTGTCAGGGAGTGCAATTATTGGGGGTCATTACAATTGTAGGTTTGAAATATTCTTATGAGACATATGCATGTAGATATTTTTTTCTTGAAATGTAGGAACATTGCACATGTTAATAAAAAAAATGTACGTTGGAAATTACGGTGCCGAATGTTCTAGTTATACCTTTAAAAGAACACGATATTTGCCATTCGTTTATTCATTGGCTCATAAAAATATTTCATTTCCATTGTTTACGCAAAAACGAAGGTATTAAAAATTCATTTCCTTTCTATAATGAATAGATGTAAAAATGTTTTTTTGCCTTATTTTTCGTTGGGACCATTTGTAATCACAATGACAGCCTTACTCTTAAATATATAGCCCTTTTCGCACCAAATCCGACTCTAAAATCGAATTCGTAATATTCGTAGAAATTTTTTTAAGTACATTGTACTCATCCTCGTTCGACGCATTGTTCAGGGGATGTGAAAGCTTTAATATTTTTTCCTAACGATTAAAAAATATTCATTACATGACTTTGAACATTATTACATGATAAAATTTTACAATAAGTTATTGTTTACATTTAATTATGACTCATTTGTGTGAAAAATTCGGAGCAATCACATCATCATCTTTTCGTGTCAGTCAGATATAAATAATTAGACAAATTGTTCATTTAAAATCTTACACCTGCAAATGTGGCAAATACCCTGCATCGATAAAGATAGCTCACGAATTTTCCCATTACTATCGATGAACAACAAAAGCCCTTGCAAAGACTTACACATCCCCCTCCGACGATATATAATATTATATCTTTCCTCGCAAAAAATGAAAGAAAAGAAAACATTAATTCGTAATCACAGCCTATTGACCGGCATTACTCTTCGTGTCTTGCTTATCCGTTTTCTCGGGTGATGGATTACGCGGTCGACTGGGTGAAGGTGACGAGGAACTGCTGCTGCTGCTACTGCTGATGCTACTTTTGGTACTACGCGACTGTTCTAAACGCTGCTGGCGCTTCTGCTCGATGACGGTTTGTTGAATGTGCAGTGGGCCACGAATGATCTTCAACATTGTTTCGAGCTCATAAGCCTCTTCTTTGAGAGTGTTGTAATGCGTTAGATCGAAGCCCACTTTTCGAGCTTTCTTGTAAACGCCTATCAGATACTCGCGGTTGAACACGTCTGGCAGCAAGTATTCCTGTTGGCCAAATTCGATAGAGTTAGATTTGATGTATTTGATTTTGCTAATATGATGAAGTGGAGTTCTAGTAATGTCATGATTTTGTTGCGAATGGTGACGATTTGATTATCGAAATAACATTTCAACCCAATGAATAACAATGCATAACGAACATACGCGCCAACTCATATCCTAGAATTGTATTTAGCTTTTGAATTTTGTAAAAAGATGTGCCTCAGCACGTTCAAGAATATTTAAATAAAAATATTTTAATTGAAAAGCGAATTTTTTATTTCTTTTCTACTGGTTATAAGGTTGGTGCGGGTGATTAGGATTATTTTAATACTAAATGAGCACTAATTATATACACGATACACACATATAACTGGTTTTAATGAAAACATCTTTCTTGCAAGCTTGTGTCATAATAATTTCATTTAAATTTTGAAAAATCATTGTGTATTAAGTGGTTGAGACTTTAATTGTTGAGTTGAGTATAAGTGCGATTTATGTAGCAACATTTATCTTCGTTTATTTTATGTTGATCAACTACGTTTATTTAAGTGTATAATAAAATATTTGTTGCCTTGTTTCCTGTGAAATAGATTTCAAAAACAATGTGATCTAAAATCAGTATATCAGTAAAATTTCTTACCATCTTTAATAATGTAACAATTTGATCGTATCCACGTAACGCAAATAAATAACAAAATAAATATTTGTATAAATGGATGATCTTATAATTGGCATTCATTTAAAACATTTAATTTAATCTTCTTACCTTCTATAAGAAAGTAATTTGATTATATCCACGTAATGCAGATAAACAATAAATTAAACATTTATATACATCTTTGATTGTATAATTAATCACTTTTTTTATCATAATCATTTTCTATTCTATTTGAAAATTTTCCAAGCCACCCGCACCTACTTTATATAATATATCATTTATAAGCTCGTAATTAAATCTTAAGCTTTCTACTCTTGCAGTGCAGACAATATGTCTCAAAAAAATAAATGAAGGTAAAAGCTTCACAATACAGGTATAAAGCGCGAAAGTTGTGCATTGAAAAAGAAAAAAATTTCCACGGTCGTTTTAAAAATAGCGTATGTGCAGTAGAGAACAAACGTGAATTTATCGTAACTCGTACTATTTGCATATTCACACATAAGTTGACCATCAACACAAACTTTATATCATTACTAGTTTCTTTTATTCATCGTCCGAGTTTCCTGGGGCGAAAAATCAAATTGAGCTTACCTGTCTGGTCATGAGGAAATATATGTAACAGCCCATGGCCGTCGCGTACGTGACGAAGTATGTGACGGGTTCCATAATGTCCCAGGAATATTCCCACCACGTGAGCCTCGCTAAACAACCAAATTGGATAGACATGAACACGAGGACACCCCAGGTGGCCAACTGAGATCTTCGCTGAGCTGACAATTTGATTTCGTTAAGTTCCTACAGAAAAAAAAGCCAGTCTTTTGTGAATATGCAATTCATTGCACGCAAACTCCAAATCCGCCAATTTCAACCGAAGTGCCGTGCACCGCAATCGCAGTCACACAGCCTCACATTTGCATACGAACTGTTTACTCACTTGCTCGAGGGGCTCCAGCTCCGTTCTCACTTCTTCCAGATGCAGCATCACTTGGCGTTCCAATTCAGCGTGATACTGCCGAGCATTAAATGTCTCGTAAAGTTGATGTACTAGAGCTTGAACGTCTTGCAGCTGCCGTATGTTTTCCTTCAACAGAACGGAACGTATTCGCTTACAATCATTTAGATTTTTTATCGGGTAATTGTAGATGACTTTGGCAGGGTTATATACCTTCGAAATCTCGTGCTTAGGTGGAGAGACCGGATAAACTTTATCGTTGATTATTAAATTGAAATCATCCAATAGCAACGTTTCTATTTTGTTTGTAGTACCATAGGTAGTACTATCTGAAAACATCAAAAAATTAGCTTTTTAGCCGTCAAAATTTCATTTAAACTATTGTTCTCGAACATTTGTATCCTCGTTTTTTTTTTTTTAAGCAGACATAGTGAATCGGAAAATATTTGAAAAGGACGTACTTGATCAGAATGAGAAAACGAAGCAATTGATTATTATATCAGAAGAGAAAGTCTACCATTACCTGACATAGTTATGCTAGCATTGACGACAGTTGGGTCTTCGAGTTTAAGCATGTCCAGAAAGTCACCAATAGTTTGCGTTAACGGCTTCAACGTGAACATACATTTCTGCGATCGCGATGGCAGGGGAAGCGTGATCCTCGGAAGGCCTCTCAAATATTCCACGGTCACCTCTGAAAATTCATAATTCATTCATTTAGTACTTTTAATCACAATTGTTCAGAGATTAATACATGGATGAATTTAAGAATCGATATTTTCGATATTTTCGAAGCTATATTGAAAATTCATTTGAGATAGATATTGCAAATTTTTTTTTTATTCAAATTTTAGGAATTTTCTTCGCTACAATAACATTCATCGTTAAATATTTTCAATATTGAAAGAGCTTGGTTCGAGATCGATTTTCTCAAATCGACAAAAATGAATATTCGCTGGAATAACAAATAACAAACTTTCAACTGCAGCTGGAACAGCACTAAAAAATTCAAAAGATACGCTTACGTGTCCACTTACATATACGCAAAAATTCATCAATGAGGTATAACACAACATCAATAAAAGTACCGAACGTTCTAGTTTTCTCGACGCGAAGCGAAAAATAACTCTTAGCACGGGTAAAGGAAAAAGCATTTACGTAAGTGGGCTTATTCCACCCTCGTCCAGTGCCTTAGTTTGCCGCTTTACTGCCTTGGCAGTCAAACATATATTTTATTTGAACGTCGACTTTCAGAAAAATATCTGTTTCTTACGAGCATAACATTTTCCAAATGGGGAGATTAATTTTTCTTATTTATTAATTTTTTTGCTGAAATTCTATAAATTTTTTAAAAAAAGTTATTTAAGATGCACTACTATAAAGATATTTTTTAACAACGCTATTTACTTTTATTCAATACAAGTAGCCAACCGAAACATTTTTCATCATATGTACATGTAGTATAAATGGATGATTTTTAATTATTTACATACTGTACCCATACAACGATAGTAGGTACATATATGAAAAAATAACAAGACTGAGATTAAAAAAACAGTTAAAAAAACATCAGTCGCGTTTGATTCATACGAGTACAATAAAAAATGCTAATGAAGTAAAAGCTACTTATCGTGACCCCTTTCGAAAAGCAAAATAAAGCCATAGTATGGCAAATGAAAGCTAGTAATTCTGCAAAAATAATTTAGTACTCGGTACGTATTTTTTCCAGGCATTTTTACGATATCAAATTTTATATACGTCTATCGTTGTAACAAAAATCACCACAATATGTTCTAATCTGCCGAGATACTAATAATGAATTGTTCAAAGCGCTTATTATATAAATGTATAAATCTCAAGTAGCGTCTGTGCGAGCATCTTTAGGTAACACTCGTCTTCTAGCGACTTAAAATCACGGAAATAGTCAGAGTGGAATGTGCAAATTGAACGAAAGATAACAGCTTTGCCATATTAGAAACGTTTTGAGAGTTACGAGCTGATGGCATCAAAAAAGGAATGTTTAAAAGTAATAATTCACGTTTAGATTAATTTTTCATCTTTACTTAACTTTTTGCAACGATTATAAAAATCTTTTGTACCAAAAAAAAATGCTCATTAATGAACTTTAGTTCATAAAATAATCCTTAGACTCGAAAGTATATACTTATTGTATATACGGTTACTCGGAATACCAACTTATTAAAATGTGATTCAGTGCTTCAAATTGAGCCATTTGCTGAAATAGTTACAACTCAATTCTTATCTACGTACTTAATTAAATGCCAAATTTCAAATGAACTCCGATATATTACAAAATATAACATCACAATAAATAGTTATTGTTGCATCCAACTATACAAGCCGTAAACGAACATTTCTGCGATGTCAGAGTCTCATCAAAGATACATTATGAGCCTCGCGTTTCCGCGATGTTAGACACTTGCGTGCGATAATCTTGCGGCCACGCGTGCGCAGCGGGTAACCTGGTTAAAAGCCTATATAGCCGAGCGCGTATTAGAGTATGGAGAGCCACGATGTCGAAAATGCACACACACGCGTCGGCTAAGCAGGCCGGAACAAAGCGCAACGTTAATGCGATCGAGAAAAAAAAGGAACGAGAATCCTGCTATAAGTACTTTGTGAGCTGGCCAACAACGAAATTGGGAGCACCTTTCGATTTCGCTTGCTCTTGGATTGACCATGCTTCGAGATTGCGAGAGGGATAATTTTAAGGATAAGATAGCGATGAGAAGAGTTTGTTTCTGTCAAAGTAAGAATCTCTTATACATTCTATCTTTGTACTAGATAGTAACTTCCAACAACTTGGAAATACTTTGTGTATTTACAATTAATTTACCAAAGAAATCTGCATAATCTAAAAAGCTCCCGTTTATTTCATAGTTGTATACACAACAAACCGCAGTTTAGCAAGTATAAAGTCAATCAACCTTCGATGTCACAATGACGCAGCCAAATCCGAGAGTATAGTGTATTTCCCTGGACGCGAACCTGTATACGTGCAATCAAAAAGCCCGGGCGTAACAATCAAATCCGTCACGTTTGTATTGCAGAGGGGAAAGAGCGCTCGGGTTAATTCGACATACTTAATCATGCATTTACTTCAATTTTTCAATCTCGCGCTCTTATCAACGTGTTTAAGATGCTACGAGCTCGAGAAGTATTAAATATATTTTATGCGAGGAAAAGGATGTCGCAATTTATTAAGGCTCAACATGCATCAGAGTAGATTCTGCGGAACACTTATTATGAATTATGTATTGACTGAACTTACCAAGTAACTTATTAATCGTGCTTATGAGTTTGTTCGGACAAAAGAAATCATTTTAATGACTTGCATATATGCGTATGGATAATAATTAAGAACAATTAAAAATTAAAAATTTTCCATGGGTCCTATAAAAGGATCTAACCATTCCGTTTTTAAAAATTTCACAATTTATGGCCTTCTAATGAAGCTCGTAAATCAAACTGCCTCGTAAAATTTTTGTCAATTCGTAATTGCGCATAACTCGCACGTAATATGAAACAGTATGCATACAGAGGAACTTTCAATGCAATATTTCTCTTGTGCTTTCTAATACGCATTTTTTTATCTTGCTGTACAATAATATAAAAATGCCGAAAATGGAACTTTTAAACGTGATGGCTACAATTGTTCCCGATTTTTCAAGGTTTAACAAACCGTGACTTTGAACGTTAATCAATGCGCTAACGAACTTTCAATCTTCACAATTAGCGCGGACAAACGTGTGAAAGGCGAAAATTGAATATCCAAGTAAAGGCAACTGAACGGCAACGGCGACGATGTAGTCGATGAGCACGAAAGTAGAGAGGTTAGACCTGTTACTTCTCGAAAATAATAGTTTTACTTCTCTCCTTTGACTTCTAAATTTCAATTAAAGTCCGTCTTAATTACCCACTGTAGTAAGTTTCTCGAACTTTTAATTCATTAGGTTTAAGTTATTAGGGATATTACAATATATGCGAGTAGTTATAATTCACAGGGATAAGGTTTCGTGTTGTAAAATATTTAGAAATGTCAACATTATACAACTATAAAACTTTTATTACTATTGGGACGAGCATAAATATTAAAAAAACTAATGTTCAATTCACGCGAAAGGGATTATACATAAAAAATTTACTACCTAAATATTATATGATAGGCATTATTATAACGTAGGACTATAAAAACTCAACACATAGAATTATTTATATATTACAATAAAGACCGGTATTATATAATGATACTCTAAATTCCTCAACTAAACAATAAAATTCTTTAACAAAGAAATCACTCACATACATTCTGTTCCATCTTTCGGTCATATTCAATTCTGCTTCGTTTCAGCAGACGGTTTGCATATCGAATCAAAAATTATTCATCATGGGCACATCCAAATTTAGCGTCGACATTATATCCAATTTCTATCTACAAAGCCGTACCACCAGCCTTAACGCCCCTCAAAATCGATCGAAGTAACAAGTAATCAACAACGCAGTGACCCTAACAGCCCTTTGAACTAACTATAGTTTGCAATGGTAAGGCTTTTGTAATTGCTCTCTAACGAACGTACAGCATAATTAGGCGGTAGTGCCTGCTTAGTCTCCCTCTTTCAAGCGGTACACATTAGATCCGAGAAAAGAGAGAGAGAGAGAGAGAGAGAGAGAAGGTAAATTTTCTCTGCGCGCAACGGTACAACACTGCAGTCTCGCGTGAGATCTTGTACAATTAATAAGTGAAGCTTTGTCCCTCTCTACGGTACGGTGTTGTGCTTTGATAGACTTATTTTTTTAAAGAGTACGAGGAATTTTTTTTCGTTTTTTGTGTAAATGATCCCGAATGACGCAAGTGCAAGTGATGGACGAGTAGAAGTTCAGTGGGGGAGGTGACATCCCCTTTGTTGTCAAAGCGCTTTGCCGAGCTGCAGGACGCAGGTATGTTTTTCAACCTATATTTTATTTTTAAATGTGAATAATATTAATCATTCATTTTTATATAAATTTTGATACTTTATCTTGAAAACAATGTGGTATTATGAACGAATAGCTATTTTTCGATTTTTAAAGTACTAACGAAATAACAAAAAAAATGTTCAGAGATTTTAACAATGTGATTCTATGACTCAAAATTGAAAAATTAAAAACAAAAATTTTCGTTTTGAATCGATTGTTGGGTCGAAACCTTACGGTTAAGACCCTTTCTCGAGAAAATTAACGTATGAACAAACTATTCGTTCTGCCTGATCCCCCGAAGGGGATATGCTGAGCTGTCGCCACGGGGAGAACTTGATATCTGCAGATGTCTGTTTCTTTTGTGGAATAGCCCAAGTCAACCTTCTACCACCTTGCGGCAATAAAGTGTACTAAAGAGCGCGAAATTCGAACGATTAAATATTTATAATTTTGAAATAAAAACTAATGTTGGTATTTTAATCAATAGCTTATCTGATGATATAAACGATGGGTGGAGTGCAGAGTGGAACGCACAATTTGGGTGATGCATTGTGGCTTCAAGAAAGACAAAAGCAAAAAGGTGTTCGGTGAGTTTTCTACGCAGTAATTTTTTATTCTATACCTGAAAAAAAAAATCATTCGCGAATCGAAACAAAAGCTTAATTGACAGTATATTGGTTAATATCATTCGAAATTACTAATTAAGCACACATCGAAAACATGGTTGACCTAAAAACATAGCAACCAATCACTAAAGCAATTTCTCCCCATTGAACGTTGCTACCTCAATTACCGGCCTTTGTTATCAAGCTACGTGCAAGAGAGGCGCCTATAAGCAAAAGTCGATTGATTACAATTGTGCGAGACCGAAATTGCCGTTTTCGCCTCTTCATCTGCAGCTGCGGTCGGTATGAAACCTCGGACTCGGACTAAAGAAAAATTCTTTATTCGTCGAAGAAAAAGTTTTGAGCGCAATGGCGTCGCATCCTTGAGAAACTTTGTGCATTTCAATGCTGATTCACGCTTAACGAGATTTCTTTCAATTTACCCCGACACTTCCCTTGGAGGCATATTCTTGCGAAGTTAAATTATTTTCAAAAATAAACGAGTTAAAAAAGGCAGTTAAGAAAACAATAATTTTCCAACAGCAATGACGTGTGAGAGTAAACGGTTGTTGATCTGTGATACCTTTGTAACATATTAAGTTGAATTTAGAGCTGTGATTGCTTACAATTTAACATATATGAACATTAGCTTAATATTTCTGTTTGAAATATGCATTCATTCGTTATTTTTATAGATTGAAACGTGTAAGAAAATGGAAAGCAATATGATTCTAATTACTTTGTCAATACACCGTGCAGAAAGTACGAGTTTGCCGCATGCTCGGTGCAAAATTTGAGCTCAAATTGGAGCTTTCCACACGTTGTTTTGAAAAATACTGTAACTAACATGTTCGGGAAAGAGATCATCGTCTCGTATGTTTTTCCACCCTCGCTTAGCTCGGGCGAGACCTCACACAAGACAAGAATCTACTTCCCCGCACTAATTAGATAATGTACTATTATTACCGAACGAGAAAAACAATAATAATTTACAAATGGAAACAAATCGAAAGTGACGTTTTTTCTCAATGTGAAAACGTTTAGATCCAAGCATTTGCATCTTTTTTCTACCTTCGCAATCATCTAGTGTCTTATTTGAATTGGACGTTCCTGTGGCTCTCGGGTTTAGCCACCTTACGTTTCTTTTTATTCGCTTGGCTGCTAAAAAGTTTCTGTTTCAATGATTTGTATTTTCTACTTGAATAAATCGAAATAACGAAGTGAGAGCTGCGCCTTAAGCTTTGCATATACGAAAGTTCACTGAGGAACACATGGAAAGTTTTGCGTCAAACAGATTCCGGTAGTTCGAAAAACAAATCATTTTGGCATTTTCCAAAGTCGCGTATTGTGGCGTAAAGATATAGTACACGCGGTCATTTTTTTTAATTCCTGAAATAAGTTAATGATGAGATAGTCAAACGACTTTGAAATATACTTGAAAAAAGCTTAAATGATTTATAATTCCAAGGATTGTTTTTCAAAAATATTTAATATTCTTGTAAACATCAAAGGTGCTTTTTAAATCTAATTGCAAGCTCACTTTAAAAAGAACGGTTCATCTTTGTTCTGCAAAATTTTGCGCCGAAATTTTATTGATTTTAGATCTTATAAAATAAATTTAATTTTATCTACAATACGTTATACTTATTCGAAATATTCGTTTCATAGGACAATACTTTTGATCATCAGCTTATCCGTACTTAATAATTAAACTTATTACCTTAAATTACTATTTACTTAATAAGTAAAAAATATAAACCGTACTAGTATAAAACTTTCAATTTCTTGATACAGTTATCTGTTCAAAATTTGAGCGATTTTCAAATCTTTTATTTCTATCTTTATTTCTTTTGATAAACTACAAGTTGCAAGAATGAACCAATGGAATTTTAAATGACCATGTGACATCTATATTATAAAAATCATACTACTTATTATCTATTGCGGTTCTTTTTCTCCAAAGTGAACAGATAATTCTTCCAATCATTTCTCGCCACATTAAGTAGTGCATTTTGTTTTTGAATTCGTAACAATAAGTATATAAATGGATTATTATTATTATTATTGGTAAAACCATTGCATCTGTAAATAATTTATTTAATTATTATTCACCTATAATTAACATAATTGATCCGATGAAAAGTATGGAACGAATCATCGTAGATTTCACCAAGGTGCAAACCGCAATGGCAAACTGAACACGGCTGCGCTAGAGGAAAAAAGCGGGAGAAGATCACGAGGAACGAGATGACGAGAAGGAAAAAAAGTAGAGAAAAGACGGTTACACGTGGATAATTGGGGCTGCGTTGGCGCCAGAAATAGTCGAGCTTATTAGTGCAGTCGTGGTCTAATTGTTGATGTGCGTGTTTTGCCTGGTCCAATACTATACGTATAGTCGTCTTTTCAGCCTACTTGCCGTTGAATCTCGGACGCGTTTTATTGTTTTACTTATATACAACCGCTTTATGCTGCTATGGCAATTACCACCAAACGATAATGTATTTTTTTCTTGCTACCAGATGTGTTTGTTTGATGTAAATTGTTTATCCAATGTTTCAAGTGGATAGTTTTCAAAATGGACGGAAAACAAAAATATAAATTAATTTTATGGTCGATTTGTAAGAAACTTTCATTTAAGATATTATTAACATTCAATACTTTGTGATAAAACTCTATCAAATTATTATTTGTTTTTCAACATCTTTGCATAATTTTTTCACAAACTTTTTACTTTGCTGAATTTTCAGTATCTTGTAAAATCCTCGTCCATGAAAAAATGCACTAGGAATTTAACGATAGTTCGAAAATTGAGTTTGCAAAATAGATTTTACTCAAAGTAATTTCAAGCTTTTAGGTGCAAAGATCATTGGTATCTTCTCGACAAATTTTCTCTTCAAAAAATATCTTGAAGAATTGAATATAAAAACTAATCCTTAATAAGCGGCATGTTATCATTATTATTTAGTAAGCAATTCTTTTTTTGGCAGCAAAAACCAATTAGAAAAAACAATTATACTATTGTTACTTTTTGCCACAAAAAAGAGAATTTTCTAATTGTTTGAAAAAAGGTTTGCCAAGTTTTCAGTCTTTTTACACGCAAGCCGAGCGTAATAATTTCATCGCATATAAAGACTGTTTTCTTTCTGCACGGTGAGAAGATACGCGTGCCACGCTCTGAGCATCATCTTATAGAAGAAGAGAAACGAAACTGCGCTCTGCAGTGCGTAACAATTCACATTTAATTGCGTGAGCCGAAGAAGAAGAGGGCGCGACTTCGGATTTCGCTCGCATCGAAAGCGATGAATCTAATTATACACGCGCTGATGGTTTATTGTTCGATGCAAGTGCGTGTGTGTGTGTGTGTGTGTTATTGAAAGGGTATGTATACTAGCGTTGAATGCTGTTCGGTTCACATCGCACCTACACATGAATTGTGCGTTTATGATCGATTATAGTCTTCACGGCTAGCGGGTTGGGAATTGGGAATTCAATGTATTTGGAAATAATTAGCTGAGGAAATACTTGAAACGTATTGTATATTGTTAGATTTTTATGCAAATCAAATTAATATTAAAGTCGATTAATATACAATTTAATTAATATTGGATTTTATTTATCTTAAGGAAAACGGTGAGCTGTAAAATCCGTATTTAGATAGTCTAAAAAATAGGGGTATGAATTTGTTTTCTTCAGTGTACAAAGATTCTTACAAATACAAAAATTGTTTAGCATACGTTCTGAAAATTATAAATTAATGAAAAAGATACATATAATATCAAGTATATCTATCGTCAATTTCATTTATTGCTTTACCTCGGATCTAAATTCACTGTCTGTATAATTCGATAAAAACACGTGACTAAAAATAATTGACACTGACGACCCGTGTAACTTTCACTCGATAAGTAGGAGCGAGTATCATGCAAAGTCTCGTGACTCGAGCGCACAGCCAACGCGAAACATTAAACCCGTCGCACCTAAAGATCGATTGCGCAAAAGTAATGCTCCATTAGCCAACAAGCTTCGTAAGAAGCCTAAAAGCAATCACTCGTGGATTTTCCGCTGGATATCCGGGCGGATATCGGCTGAGGAGGTATCCACATGCATCTCTCTCTGCCTCTACCTTTTCAGTTACAGCGACACCTGTATACACGTAAGCGGATATGAATATGTAAATAAAACGTCCAGCGATCCGCGTTGGGAATTTAAATTGACTTGAACGAGGCAGACACGCGTACACTATCGAGCTGCCATTGTACCTGTCGCCGAATCCCTTTAGGGCTGCAATAGAAACGCAAGTATATTTGTATTTTCGTCAAATTCAATGCGAATGGATTTTGATTTATAAGGATGGATACTTGTCGAAGATATCGCGTGGAGTGGATTAATTTGAATAAACGATGTATGTTATGCTATAATACGAATATTTGCGTATTTTGATTATTTGAGCTGATTAGTCGTTTTAAAATAAATTTTGGATTATATGTTTTCCGGAAATGAACAATTTCTTCGATGTTATTCTCCATGTCAAATGCAAAGATGCAAACGAAGTATACGTAACTAAATAATAAAACCAACCGCATTGTATTATGCACACTGCTAAGTTATTTAATGCAATTAAATTATTGTTTCAATCTATGCGCACACATAAATTAAATTAACGAGATTACTATGATTAATATTGAATGTGAAATACAATGCAGTTGCTTAATCGTATTTAATTTCTGATATTTAATGTAATTTTCATTGAAGACTTTGCCTACCGTCAATGCAATGCAGGTCCCCCATTGACATACAGTTCAATACCATTATAAGATCAATTTTTTATTATCCGCTTGGTGCGCTTTTCCAATAATAATTGAACGCATTCGATGTCTCCTATACCTGTTTTAATTGAAACGCGGTTATTGTATTTGCTAAACGCTGTAGGGAAAATCTTCCGAAGTTTTAATTAGAAAGAAACGCGTATAGAGAAAGCGCGT